ATGAGAACCTATGTTCACAGGAAAATATATATACACAAATGTTTATAGTAGCTTTATTTCTAATAGTCCACAAGTGGAAACCACCCAGATGGCCACGTAAATGGAGCCAACTGAGGCACATCTGTCCTACAGACTAGCCTGTTTTTCAGCAGTAAGAAGCCACAAGCGATTGATACACACAAAATCTTGGACATATGCTGAGTGAAAAAGTCATTATGATGAGTGAAAAAGTCATTCAAACTGTGACATATTGCATGACTCCAATTTTGTAACTTTCTCAAAATGTAAAAATTATCAAGACAGAGAACATATTAATGGTTGTCTTGGGCTAGGACGGGGAGAGAAGGGATGTGTGCTGTCTTCATGGTGATGGAATGGAATTGTATCTTGATTGCTGTAGTGATTACTGTAGAAATCTTTCCATGTGATAAAGCAATGAATTACACATACATATCACAACAATGTCTCAGCATTCTGATTTTGATAATTTATATATCTATAGCTATTAGGGGAAATGGCTGAGGTGTACATCGGCCCTCTATACTATGTTCGCAATTTTCTGTGTATCTATAATTATTTCAAAATAAAAAGTTATAACATTTAAAAAATAAAAATAATCACCTTTCTCTTAACTCCATGATTAAATTTTTATTCATAATGGATTTTATTTTTCTATTAGAAATGAGTTTGGTATTTATTAAGGAAGCTGGTCATGGTCAGATGCAATTTAATATATTGCATATTTTATAATCTTTTTCAATGTCTAAATTTAAGTGATTTCATGGCTACCCTGACTTCTTTCCATGAGTATAATTTTTCTTTAATAAGACAGATTCTATGCACACAGGCAGATTAATTAGTTCTTGTCATAAAGTTGATGAGAAAATGAATTGCTTAAGAAGATTAGAGTAATTTTCTTTACTTAAAGGTATTCCTGATGACCCACACTAAAATTATACAAGATTAACTCCATTAACACCCATTTCCCATTCTTTAAACTAGTAGCTTTCTAGAAAGCAGCATTTAGACAGATTACTTCAAAGCATATTTTAAGAGATCTCAGCATGCTTAGAAATGCTAACAGAAGTATAATTTAAGGATTCAGGAATGGGTGCTGAAAGGTTAAACAACATATTATTGGCCATATAGTGAGTCGGAAGTGAAACAGAAAGAAACTGCTTTGTTTTCTCTTTACCACTTAGTCTACATCTTTTTTGTGGATATCATTTCAAATCAAATTATATCTTAAAAGATATAACACTGTTAATCCCTCAAAGGCAGGGACATGATCTGATTTATTTTCATCTTTCCCCTAACGCTTTCTAGAGTGCCTTTAACTTAGGAGCACTCAAATATTTATTGATTATTATGTCATATATTTGGCATTGCTTTGTTACCTACCAAAATTATGTATAGCAGAAGGGCTTGGGGAGGGGGGGAAACAGATTAAAACAGCACCATATGACATCAAGCTATCTCTAAATCAGAGTCTTTTGAATTTAAGTAAAATCTGTAGTACAGGCACTCAACTTTAAATATATGCACTGTGATCAGTACTATTAAAATGTACAATGCACAGATTTCTTTTTTGGTAGCCTGTTGGTATGAGCCACCACAACCATTCTGAACAGATAATCATAATCCACCAATCCCCTTACTTTATGTTCTCTAAACTTTAAAGTATCCTCTGAGATCTTTTAAAATAACAAAATTAATAAGCAAATGTTCTTGTTTTAAAATTCAAGTTTTTAGAAATAGAGAAAAAACCTAAAAAGTCCTATTTTCCTTCCTCCCCAGTATCTTCTTCCAAACTCTTTGCCAATACTTACGTTAATGCAAGAAAACTTTATGGGGGTTTCATTTTCTTTTTTATCTCTTACTTGTAGTTTCCAGATAGATAATATTGGGGAACACTGACCTGCAAAGTTCTTAAAGATCTTAATTTGAACAAACTGCTGAATTCCAAAATTTAGAAATAGTTATATCTTTTTATCAAAAAAAAAATCTAAAAGTGTGCTGAGGTACAACTACTTTATGCTAAGAGCACATCAGAACTTAGAGGAAAGTTTTTACTCATTCTAAGGCAAAACTTTCATTAGAGAACACAGTAAAGTAATATGAACTATAATAGCGCTAATAGTTATTAAGAATTTATCAGGTGCTAGACACTATTATTGATGTTTCATAGTATTTCCTAAATATAAATCCCTAGCAGTGAAATTTTCAGATATGGAATGTGATCTACCTCTGTTCTACCTCTGGATGAAAAGTTACTTATCCAGGAAGCACAATCAAGTTCAACCATGTATCATCTTGTTTGACCTTGATTAGGTCAGTTGATAAACCACTCAGATATTTTCTCATCTGCAAAAACAGAGAAAATTCTACCTACTTTGGGTGTATTTATAGATTAAAAGGAAAGAAACAGAAGTACCTCATGCAATAGACAATAAAAAAGTTTACTTGGATCAAAGTTACACAACTTTCATTTTACTACAATTCACAAAAGCCTGGTGTTTTCATCATAATAAAAAAGATCTCGTTTTATGATACTGATCCTGAGGCATTGTTGCTCAGTTTCAAGGTTCAAGTGAACCCTGAAAGTTAAGACTAACTTGAAGGTTCTCCTTCTGACAGTTTGAAATATCCCAGAAAACAAATAGAAACAGAGATGACCTGGTGAGAATTTGGTCCAAAGTCAAGTCCTTAAATTGAATAAATAAATAAATAATAACATGTCAAGTATTCTTTGTTTTCAGAATAATTTTCCATATGAACAATGTCTGAATACATATTACAGTTATTTGAAATACGTTTAGTGATTCTTTGCTCAATCAACCAACTTATTATTAAATAAATAAATAAATAAATCTAAAATTATAGTGCCATCTGCAGGCAAAGAAAATATCAACACTTTAATGCCCCATATTTTTAATTCCTAGTCAACATTTTAAAAAACTCTAGGATTTTATAATATACATATTAGAAATGTACATAAAGTTACAATGCCATATTGTTCAATAAAAATAAATATTTATAAAATTCATTTTCTGATTACATATATAGGTATAATTTATCATATAAGATACTTCTCAATTCCTTTTACTACCCAACAGCATCATTTTATTTTCAAACACATTAAAATAATAAAGGTTTTTTTTTTAAAGTCAATAGTACTACAATCTGTAGTTTTATATCCTGAAATTTATTATTCAAATATACGACAAAAAAAAGAGAACTTTTTAGTATTAAAAAAATCCAAATGCCTTATCATCTTAAAATTTAAAAACAGCATTTTAATTTTTTTCTGTTCCCTGCCAAACTCCCATTTTCAGACACTTATTTAACAATATATGTATTAAATCAACAAATTCTCACATTATCATCCCGATTTTATAGATGTTGCTGCTGATTTTACAGATGTTAAAACCAAAGCACACAAAGTTCAAATAGCATCTCCATGCTGCTATTAGTGGTGTAAACTGGGGGACTGTCCCCCCAATATTGGTGCTTTTTCTTTTTTAATAAAGATTTATTTATTTATTTATACAAGCACTGGGTACAGTCAGAGTGCGGAAGGGTGAGAGAATTCACCAGAGCCAGAGCAGGGAGCAGAACAGGCAGTGATGAAATACACTGCTGAGGGGAGCAGCGGGCCCAGCAGGAGAGGTCTGCGCGCCATGTGGGACCCTCCCCGGTGGCCGGGGATCGAACCAGCACTACAGAGGCTGCGGGCAGCTTCGCAGCCCAGCGCTCAACTGCTGTGCCACCAGGGGAGGCCCTATCGGTGCTTTTTTAAATCACTTTGCTAAAGTGCCTCTCATTTGTAAAAGCTATGCTCAATTTATGTCTCTGCTGCATTTACAATAAATATGTTCTGCTTTTCAGAGGCAACATGTTCTCATATACCTAACATTTCATCATCTTTTTTTAATAACTATATGTTTTGTCATCAAGTTAATAGATCTCATTTTACTTATCTAATACTGGCCAATAAAACAATTTCCAGGGCCTCCTTAGTGGCGCAAGGGGTTGGAACACAGCACTCTGAAGCTTTCCGCAGCCACCGCAGCATAAGTTTGATCCTCGGTCAGGGTGGTGACCCACATGGTGCAGCAGGCCTCTCCTGTCTCGCCCGCTGCTCCCCTCAACAGTATATTTCAGTCAATCTGCCTGTTCTGTTCCCCACTTTGTCTCTGGTGAATCATCTCACCCCCCCCCACCCCTCTGTCTGGCCTGTACCCCAGTTCTTATATGTATAAATAAATAAATCTTAAAAAAAAACTATTTCCAATTTACTTTGTTATATATTTTGTTATATATTTCCATATAAATGCTGCAATAAGCAATTCTATATAAAGCAATAAATTTTGCTTTCCAAATTACTTTTTTCTTCTTTTGAATTTTATTTCCTTATGCTAATATACCCGAAATGGTTTCAATGACAAAGTGCCACATTGCTGATACATAATTCTCTAAATTGCTTGTTAAATTTTATCATTATATATGCTGCCAACAATGAAAGAATGCCCAGATCTTCCTCATCAATAAATACTATTCTCTCCAAATTTAACTGATAAAAAGTGGTTAAGGATGGCTTATGATATGGAATAAACAAATTAATATTTATATTTTCAAATGGAAAAAGGTTTTATTATTCCAGCAATATAAAAAGTAGAGATAATCCGATCATTCATTACTCATAAGACTGGAGCATCTTGATTTTTAAAATGAGCCTGAACAAGATTGAATAACTTACCCCAAATCACTAATAAGAGTCAAAGCAATAGTCTGAGCTCAGAACTGTCTGACTCTAAAAGCTGTGTTTGGATAATAGGGGAAAAAAAAAAAAAAGCCAAGAGGCCTCCTCGGTGGTGCAGCAGTTGAGCGCTGGGCTGCGAAGCTGCCCGCAGTCTCTGCAGTGCCGGTTTGATCGCCGGCCGCTGGCGAGGGTCACACATGGCGCACAGACCTCCCCTGCCACGCCCGCTGCTCCCCTTATTAGTGTATTTCGTAGGTCTGTCTGTTCTGCTCCCTGCTCTGGCTCTGGTGAATTCTCTCACCCTCACATGCTTCTGACTGTACCCAGTGCTTGTATAAATAAATGAATAAATCTTTAAAAAAAAAAAAAAAGCCAAGAGCCACTGTATATTGAAATAATTATATGAAAGATTTTATTTCAATCTTCACAGAAGATTGTCTTATAAAGGGGAATACTATTCTGGGATAGCTATCATTTAAAAACAGTTATATTTTCCCAGTATTTTGTTCTGATCAATAATCTCAAAAATTGGAAGAATGACATAATAATAAGATTCTTCATTCATCTGTCTTTCTCTCCAACCAAATGCTTTCAGTATAACACCCTTCATCTCATTCTAAGGAAGGAGCTAGAAGATGGAAACATTACTTCAAAAATACTTTTCTTAAGTATTATCTTGCAGTTATTATTAGTCTAGAAAGACTGTAACTTTTTTTGTGTGTGTATTGAAGAACTGGGGTGTAGGCCAGAGGTGCAGAGGGTAAGAGAATTCACCAGAGACAGAGTGGGGAGCTGAACAGGCGGATCTACTGAAACCTACTGCTGAGGGGAGCAGCGGGCGAGACAGGAGAGGTCTGTGCCATGTGGTTCAGCGCCTGGCCGGGGATTGAACTCAGGCCATAGTGGTAATAGCACTGAGATTTAACCCCCTATACCACCCAAAGACTGTAACTTTAATAGCACAGATGTAAGGTAACTGAAACATTAGACAATATGAATTAACCAGCTCTATGTCTTCTGGAAGGCTAACATTGAATCTACTTCATCAGGATGTTGTATAATGAAAGAATAATAATCATAAACCTCATACCACATAGTAAATGTTCAAGAAATCGTAGATCCCATTCCTTTAAAGAGTGACACATACACAACTATAACAAGAGTATTGGTTTTAAAAGTCATGTTTCATTATTTCCCTCAGACAAACTGTAGCATAACATGAAGCATCAAGGTCGAAAGAGATCAAAAGTGACAAAGTTGCTTCACTCATGGGGGGACCATCTATTTTGACATCAACAGCATGTTCTTCCATTAGTTGGTAGGCGAGGTTATGGGGGTGTTTCAAAATCTGTCTGTAGCATCCCGGAACATTCAGTTTCAGGGCCGGTATTTTGAACCTACATGTGTGTAATCCATCCCTGCCAAGTGTTTCCTGGTACCACTGGCCTACTTTATTCTTTGGGTACTGAATATTGTAGCCAAGCACTGGTAGAACCACCTATGCAAAGGAAGAGGGGAAAAAAATAGATGAAACAACCTTCAGAAAAATATGCAATCAAATGTTAAATTTACTTTTATGGCTGGAACTTGAGTCTATAAAAACAATCTCAGGATATAACACTACAATCAGCCTAGAGCAAATTATTAACTACTTTGATTATTTCTAATGCTGCCAGGCAAAGAAAAGAGGTAAGTAAAATAAAGAAGGACTCATATTAACCAAGAAGACCAACTCAAATTATTAGGCACACCACAGTTAGTGTAGAAGAGATTGAACAAAAAGTTTTAGCATATTTAACTAGCCAAGAAAAACTGTGCAGTCATACAATCCTAAAAGTATATTCTTTCTATAAAAAAGAATAGCCCCTACTGCCTAATCACAACTGATATTTTAGCCTATAATTTTACATTTTCCTGTTTAAAACATGAAAGCAAAACAGAAGCAGCAAATGTGTTTATCAACTGAATATGTTTATTGAACAAACAATGGATTTCTTCTAGGTTACTGATTACTTTGCTGATTACTTCTACATGTTTTTCTTGAATAGTACCTAAAGGTAGTTTTAGAAAAAGGAAACAAAACCTCAAATACATATTCGAGTAAATTTCAATTTATTATACTAACTGAAAGAAGTCAAACACAAAAAGACTATATGATTCCACTTACATGATATTCTTTCAAAGGCAAAACTATGGGAGAGTTGCCAGGGGCTGGGTTTTGACGATAAAGGAGCACAGGGAAATATTGGTGAGACATAAAACTGTTCTTTATTTTGATTTTTGTGATAGTCTTTAAGACTGCATATATTGGGCCTTCGGAAAAGTCATGATATATTTTTTCTATGCAAAAATGTGTCATGACTTTTCCAACAGCCCAATATTTACCAAAACTCACTGAAGTATAAACTGAAAAGAATAAATTTTATTGTATATAAATTATACCTGATATTAAAAAGTGATTTTAAAAGGCAGGGAGGGGGAGAATGGTTAACATTTTGTCTGCTGAAAGTAATGTTTACATTTAGACCCAAGTGATACTAATTTTTAAGATATTTACCTGATGTATTGCATATGTATTAGCTGATTCGTCTTCTTCAGTTACCAGATGAACCTATTTTTAAAAAGCATGATGAAAATATAGATTATTTGCAATGTTCCAAATTTCCTCAATTTTTCCTTACTGTTACATATAATTTGACTCCTAACTGACTATACATATACCCAAAAAAGATTTTTTCAAAATTTGTTTCTGAAGAAGCAGAACACATTAAATTAGATACTTCTTGGTTTGACCACTGCTAATTTAAGTTGGTACCCATGAAGAATGGTGGGTATTTTAATGTCCTGGGGTGATACTTTCACCTCAGTCACCACCAATCATTTTCTCAATTACAGAGTTGTTCTTTATTATGTTAAGTCAGAAAACTGTTTCTGACCAACAGGGATGTGAAAAAATGCTCATCATCACTTATCAGGAAAATGCAAATCAAAACCACAATGAGACACTCTCTCTCACCTGTGAGAATGACCCAAATAAAAAAAAGCAGAAAAGCAGAAACAAGTGCTGGCGAGTATGTGGAGAAAAAGGAACCCTCTTACTGCTTGTGGGAATGTGGACTGTCCAGCTCCTATGGAGAGAAGTGTGAAGGTTCCTCAAAAGACTAAAAATGGGATGCAATCAAAATACATGGGACTCTGATCTCTCTTGCATCATCACATCCAGCTTTTTGTTTTTCACAAATTCATCAACATACCTACAATACTGGAAGTAATTTCTAAAAATGCTGAACAAACATGGCCAAGCACTGAAAACCACATTATGTCTTTGGAAAACTCGCTCCGAGTTGAATCAATTAGTTAAGAAACATGGTTTTTGCCACGTGGCCATGCCCCAACTATGAATTCACCTCACTTTTTAATTGTGTATCTCATATTTTTCTATCTTGCTCACAAGAAAAATTATAAAAGAATTTACTAGGTAACTTGAAATAAAAATATACCCATTAGTCTAGAGATCTATCAAAAAAAAAAAGGAACAATTAGTTTCCTATACATTTTTTTTAAAAGATTTATTTATTTATTTATACAAGCACTGGGTATAGTCAGAAGCACGGGAGGGTGAGAGAATTCACCAGAGCCAGAGCGGGGAACAGAATAGGCAGACTGACGAAATACACTGCTGAGGGGAGCAGCAGGCACGGCAGGAGAAGTCTGTGCACCATGTGGGACACTCGCTGGCTGCCAGGGATCAAACTGGCGCTGCAGAGGCTGTGGGCAGCTTTGCAGTCCAGCGCTCAACTGCTGCGCCACCAGAGGAGGCCCAGTTTCCTATACATTTTAATTTTAGATGCACAACAATATATGTCCCATTTACCGTTTATATCCTATTGTTCTTTTTTATATCTTACATTTTCAATCTCAAGTGCTGCTTTTTACTTTCTATATTAAATAAGAAGTCAATGATTTGTCTTAAAATAAAGGTAATCTTTGCTGGTAATAAAAGAAAACTGTAAAATAGGAAGAAGAAAATGTTTCTGCTATAGCAACAAAAAGAAGATACGATTCTAATCACAAAATTGTCCTGGCGAGTATTAATTTGAACAAAGAAGCATCATAATACTCTGAAAGCAGCATTATAAATACTCTGAAAGACTCTCAAAGAAGCATTATAAATACCCTGAAGTATTTCAGAGATTATTATTTCTTGTCTCTTTCATAAAACCTGAATCAGAACTTACACTAAATAATGGGTGCCAGGGTATTAGGTGAACATGTTCTGGAACCTGTAAAAAACCTAATGATTTTTTATCGTTTATCAATCACTGAGTGACATATCTCTTCTATGAGGTAAAGCAAAATCCATGATGCTACTAGATTTATTTTTACATAGTTTGAGTCTATGTGTAAGAGACCTATGCTCCTAGTGACCACTTATCCATACATGCACTCACAAGCCATCCATTTAATGCACAGTAATGCAGACATGGGTTTTGCTGGCTTGCTCAGGTTCTACTCCTTTCCTAGTCAGTGCACCCTCATTTTCCAGGGATCTCTCCTCCCACTTCTCAAAAATGTTTTGAGAGGGATGGTTCCAGAACAAGTCTTTGGGAACAACAGCTTGGCCAATCATATCTTCCAGTCCACAATAACTGGTTTGGGGACAGGAGACCCAAGCTAGGCCCTCTATGCCACTGAGATTCTATTCATGGCTTTTGTTGAAACTGTTGGGGAAGGTGAGACATCTTTTCAGGAGGTTGTAAGAAATAAGCCTCTAGTTGCTAATAAAGGAAAAGGGCAGGCTGAACCTGGACCTAACACAGGTAAAAGCAGAGCTGAAAGACAAAGAAAATGAGCTGGGTGATTCAGGGCAGTCAATACATTGTGCTTCAGTTAATCACGCACTTTCAGTTATAAGGCTGAAAAAATTTCTCCATGTACTGATATTTGTTAAGCATTAGCTGACAGCACAGTAAAAGTGGGAAATGAGCAAATACAGGAAATAAGTTTAGTCTTAAACTGTTTCTAAAATAAGGGCTGCTGAAAATTAATATTCCTAGTGTGGTAACTACTCTTGGAAAACACTGATGAAATATTACTTACTTTACTATTTGTGAAATGTTCATCATCAATACTTTCATCCAAACAGACCAAATCACCTCTCACTACTCTTGTGCCATAGGTTGCAAGTCTATATGATACAGCTTCATTCCAAATTTTGCTGCTATATGCATGAACATAGAATATGCGCATAGAATGAGGAAAAGAGAACCAGGCCTGGATACAGCCCTCTTCTGTCATGCTAAAGCGATGCAGTGATTCCAGTAATGCTCTCTCTCGGACTTTGAATTCAGGCATCAGTGCTAGTGTGCCTTTAGCATCCTCTGAAATAGAGAGAAAAAGAAGTCAATCAATCAAGATATGATTGAATAGCTCCCTACTACAAACTTTCTCCAAATACAACTAAAAAATGGCAATTATAACTCACAATATACCTCACCAGCACATTGCCAGCTTTATTGGATTAACCCACAAAACTCTCCCTAAGGTGGGTACTCTGTTATTTATTGTTTTGAAGCAGGGAGAAGGGACGAAAGCCTTAGGTACAACTGTGGCCATTCCTAATGGAAGAACAGACTTGCAGAGGATAGAGGCTGTAGTGTACCCAGTATGGCACAGTGGACCTCCCCAGTGAGCAGAAAATAATATACTGCATCCTGACAGCCCTGGGGGAACAGCTCCATCTGCCACAGAAGTTGATCTGATTATAGTGTAATCAACAGACAAGCACTATCCTCCCACCTTTTTCTTCTAAGGCCAGAAGGAAATCTGGGGCAAAACAAGGAGTTTCTTGGGCCTCCCCTGGTGGTGCAGTGGTTGAGCGCTGGGCTGTGAAGCCCCATCCCCGGCCGCAGCGAGGGTCTCACATGGTACAACAGACCTCTCCTGCTGCGCCTGCTGCTCCCCTCAGCAGTGTACTTCGTTCCTTCTGCCTGTTCTGCTCCGCACTCTGGCTCTGGTGGATTCTCTCACCCTACCATGCTTGTGACTGTACCCAGTGTTTGTATAAATAAATAGATAAATGTTTAAAAAAAAAAAACAAGGAGTTTCTTGATAGTGGGATAGGGACCTGGGGAGTAGGTTCCAAGAATAGAGAGGAGCTTGGTCTGATCTCAGAGGGAGAAGCACTGTTACAGGCTCCCAAAACCTAGTGTGTACTCCCCACCCAAGACTGTGAACACTTATTCCAGCATTTGATCTCCCACACCCATACTCCTCCCTCCCAAGGTCTTCATAAATAATGCAGGTTTTAAAATTAAAGCCACAGTACCACATATAGGGAGGAGGGACAGGGAGCTGGGGAATATAAAAGGCACAGCTCAGGCAACACAGCATGAAAAAAGACATTGGATCTGAACCCAGGCTTTATAACTCAGAATTGGTGGAGCTACCAGAACAAGAGTACAGAATAGCAATCATGAAGATGCTCTATGAAGTTGAAGACTCTCAGTTAAACACAGAAGGTTGGGTTGAGGACATCAGAAAAGATATCCGACTCAAAAGAATACTTCACCAAAGCAATTAAAGCTAATAAAAAAATAAAACAGAAATAATGTAAAAGCAGAAATAATGGATTCATGAGGAATACAATTAAAGAACTGAAAGCAGCCATAGAAAGCTTAGTAGTCTTAACCTTGTTGAGGAAAGAATCTCAGAAATATAAGATAAAAATGTACAAAAGTCAAGTGAAAGGGAGAGAAATAACATAAGGAAAAATGAAAAAACTCTACATGAAATATCAGACTATATTAAAAGTGAAAATATAAGGATAATGGCCATTGCTGCCAGTGAAGAGCAAAGGAGGCAAGACCCTATTCAAAATAATAGCTATGTACTTTCTAAATCGAAGGAAAGAATTAAACATGATGTTCGAGAAGCAGACAGACTATACAAATTTCTAAATGTGAAATGACCTACACCTTAAGTATCACATTGCTTGAGTATCAAAGGTCAGTGATAAAGAAAAAATACTAAAGTCTGCTAAGGGGAAAAACATGTTATAGACAAAGGGACCTTGATCAGCAGAAACCCTACAAGTTAGAAGAAAATGGAATGATATATTCACCATACTCTATCCTGCAAAATTATCATTCAAATATAATGGATAAATAAAGACATTACCTGTCAAATAAAATAAATGAATAATAGTGTCCTATAAGAACTGCCCTACAAAAAAATGATTAAAGAAATTGTATATGGAAAGCAAAAACAAAAAAAATAAAAGAACACTAGACCTTGTATAATGTGATAAACAGAAACATAGAATCAAAAATACAAACAAGAAAATGTGGGGCGATGACAAAATATTTAATGAGGATAAAGCCCAGGACAGAATTTATACAGTCAAATGATGATGACTTGATACTAACACAAAAAAAGACTCTCCTAGATATAAGAGGATTAATACAATACCCCTTGTAACTGCAAAACAAACCTCTGAAGCAGACACTTAGAAAAAGAATTAAAGAACGTGAGAGAAATACCAGAGAAAGGCATCAAGATGAAAAGATAGAAACACATGAAAAAAAAAATAACAAAAGACAAAACAACCAAAAAAACAAAAAATGGCAGTAAATAAGCCTCATTTAACAATAATCGCTCTAACCATAGTCTGAACTCACCAATTAAGAGACACAGAAGGACAAATTTGATTAAAAAACATGACCCATATATTTTCTGAATTCAAGAATCACACATTAGATCTAAAGGCAAATTTAAAGTGAAAGACTGGAACAAAGTATCTCAAGTCAACAACACAGAGAAAAGAGAAGGAAATGCTATTCTTTTTTCTGATAAATTAGACTTTCCCCCAAAAAAGGTAATCAGCATCAAAGATGGACACTATATAAAGATTAAAGAAACAATTTATAAACACTATGAACTATCATCAATATTTACACACCTAACATAAGTGTGCCTAGTTATATAAATTAACTATTATATTAACAGGCATAAAACAACATATTAACAGTAGGAGATTTCAGCACACCACTTACATTAATGGATAAACATCCAAACAGAAAGTAAACAAGGAAATATATCCTTAAATGAAGTAATGAATCATATGGATTTAATCCACATTATGAAAGAATTGAAACTACCATTACTTGAAGATGACATGATAATATATAGAAAATCCAAAAAGATCTCACTAAAAAACTACTAGAAATAATAAATGAATACAGTAAAGAAGCAAGATACAAGAAAAATACACAAAAGTCACATGTGTTTTCATATGCAAATAGCAAAGGAGAGGAAAAATTGAGAAATAGTCCTATTTACAATCACACCAAAAAGGAAGAATTACCTGGGAGTAAATTTAACAGGAAGTGAAGGACTTGTACATTAAGAATTATAAGACTGTCAAAGGAAATAAAAGAAGACATGGAGAAATGGAAAGATATAACATGGTTACGGTTTAGAAGAAAAGTATTAGTAAAACAGTCTCATTACCTAAAACAATTTACAGATTCAACATAATACCTATTAAAATCCCAATGAGGTTTTCAAGAAAATAGTGTGAACAATTCTAAAATTTGTATGGAGTTAAAGAAGATCCCAAATATCCAGAACAATCCTGAGAAAAAAGAATAAAAATGAAGGAAGCATGCTCCCTGACTTCAAACTATATTACAAAACAATAGTAATCAAAACAGTACAGTATTGGAACAAAAATACAAAACAGAGCAATGGGATAGTACAGTCAGCTCAGAAATAAATCCACACAATTATGGATGGTTAATCTTTGAAAAGGGAGCCATAACTGTACAATGGAGAGTGGAAACTCTCTTTAACAAATGGTATTGGGAAACTTAGACTGGAATACCCAAAGAAATGAAACTAGATCATTACTTAACTCTATATATACAAAAGTTAATGCACAGTGAATTAAAGACTTGGGTACAACACCTGAAACCATAAAATACACAAAAGAAAACATAGGTGATACATTTCTGGACATCAATTGCAGAGATTTATTTGGAGACTCAACTACAAGTAGAGAAACAAAAGCAAGAATAAACAAATGATACTCATCAAACTAAAAAGCACTGTACCATGAATAAATCCACTAGAAAACCAAAAAGAAAACCTATGAACTATTTAAAAAGATGAAAGAGTGCCTTATGGGGCAAACTGGATAGATCTTGAGGTGATTTTACTAAGGGAAATAAGCCAGTAGATAGAAGTGGTTTCTCTCACTGAGTGGAATAAACACAAAGAAAATAAACTGGCAATGCACAGCAAAAATAACTCTTAGATTCTGAAAAATATACTGTTTACTATAAAGGGTGGTGGTATGGAGGAGGGAACAGAGGAAAGAAGGCAACAGGACACTGGCACTCGAGCTCTAGTACAGGGTCAGTGAAATGTGCACATATGGCTGTATGATGTTATAGTCCCAAAATTACATAGTTATGTAAACAATGGCAAATTAGTAATATTTGGAACAAACAAATCAACAAATTAAAATCAGTTAATCATCCACTTTCACTTATAGATCGGTTATAAACACCTTTATTAAACTTTCTAAAAGGCAATACAGGCACACGTCAAGAAAGAAGAAAGAGTTCAAATAATCTTATCTCTGGCTGAAGGAACTATAAAAAGATGAACAAACAAAACCAAAAGGCAGCAGTAGGAAGGAAATAATAAAAATTAGAGCAGAAATAAATGAAATAGAAATCAAAAAGATAGTTCAAACATTAAAGAAACCAAATCTACTTCTTTGAAAAATTAAAAAATGAACCTCTAGGCTCACTAAAGGGAGAAAACACAAAAGGATCAGAAATGAAAGAGAAGTTACAAAGGACATATCAGATGTAACTTAGAGGATCCTAAGATCATTTGAACATTTGTATGTTAGTTAGTAAATGGAACAATGTAGAAGGGATGGGCACAGTCTTAGAAAAACACAACTACTTGAGACTGAATAGGGATGAAATAGAAAACATGAACAAACCAATTACAAGCAAGGAAACTGAAACTAATCAAAAGTCTCCCCAAAAACAAAAGTCCAGAAGCAGATGGTTTTATCAAGTGATTTCTATCAAGCCTTCAAAGATGAGTTAATACCCATCCTCAAACTCCTCCCAAAAAACTGAGAAAGAGGGAATACTTCCAAAAACTTTTTATGAGGCCAACATTACCCTTATACCAAAACCCCAAAAATAATACAAAAAAGAAAACTACAGACCAATTTCCCTAATGAACATAAATGCAAAAATAATTTACAAAATTGTAACAAACCAAATTCAACAATGTATTAAGGGCCTCCCCTGGTGGCGCAGCAGTTGAGCGCTGGGCTGCGAAGCTGCCCGCAGCCTCTGCATCACAAGTTCCATCGCCAGCCGCCGGGAGAGGGTCGGTCCACATAGCGCGCAGACCTCTCCTGTCGCCCGCTGCTCCCCTCAGCAGTGTACTTCGTCAGTCTGCCTGTTCTGCTCCCTGTTCTGGCTCTGGTGAATTCTCTCACCCTCCTGTGCTTCTGGCTGTACCCAGTGCTTGTATATATAAATAAATAAATCTTTTAAAAAAAAAAAAAAACAATGTATTAAGAGGTTTATATACCATGATCAAGTTGATTTGAGGGACACATGGATGTTACAAGACCCCTATGGAATATCTGAGAATCAATCAACATATTTCAACACCTGAATAAAAGAAAAATATAAATCATATGATGGTATAAATCAAGAAAGGATTTTATAAGATTAAACATAAAATTGGATATCCATTCCATGATGAAAACCCTCAAAAAACTGGGGATAAATGGCACACAGCTCAAAAAGCTTTTCCATTTCCATCTGGTATAAGACAAGGATGTCCCACTCTCAATGCTGCTATTCAAAATATATATTGGAAGTACTAGCTAGAGCAATTAGAAAAGAGAAGCATAGAAAAGGTATTCAGATTGGAAATGAAGAAGTAAAGCTATCATTATTTGCAGATGACATGATAATAATATACATAAAAACCCGGAAGACTCCACTAAAAAAGTAATTGAAACAATCAGTTCAGCAAAGTGGCAGGTGACAAAATCAATACACAAAAAATCAGTTGCTGCCCTATAAGCAAACAATGAGCAAGAAGAGGAAGAAATGAAGAAAACAATCCTATGTACAATCACATCAAAAAGAATTAAAGACCCAGGAGCAAACTTAACAAAGGAGGGGAAGGTCCTATACAATGAAAAGTATAAGACATTGTTAAAAGAAATAGAACACACAAAGAAATGGAAAGATATTCCCTGCTCATGGATTGAAAGAATCAACATTGTCAAAATGGCCAACTTACCCAAAGCAATATATAGATTCAATGTAATCCCTACTAAAGTTCCAGTGGCATTCTTGAAAGAAATAGGGCAAACATCACTGAAATTCATATGGAACCACAAGCTAATCCTAACAGAAGAAAAAAGAGGAAGAATGGTGGTATCATGCTCCCAAACTTCAAACTATACCACAAAGTTATAATAGTCATAACAGTGTGATACTAAACAAAAAAAAGGCACAGACCAATAGAATAGAATTGAGAGCACAGAAATAAACCCACACCTGTATGGACAGTTCATCTAAGACAAAGGATCCAAGAATACAAACTGGAGCAAGGAAAGCCTCTTCAATAAATGGTGTTGGGAAAACTCGACAGCCACATGCAAGAAATGAACCTAGACTACTGTCTCACACCTTACCCAAAAATCAACACAAAATGGGAGGAAGCACAATGGATTATGGTAGTGGACCATGAGTGCTTAGTGGTGAGTGTGGTACAGTAACAACACCTAAAGGGGACGAGCCTTTAACACTAGAACACAAGGAACATTGTAAACCAATGTACCTCAATTAAAAAAAAAAAAAAGATGCTCACTAATTATAAATCTAGCTACACTAAAGAATCTGATAAGCATCAAATCACATGGTCCATTCACTTTGCTTAAAAAAAAGGTGCACCATTAATAACTGACTTTAGGATAGTGATAAAAGTCAAAGGGCTTTTAAAACAGTATAAATAAACCTCTGAGCCTAAAGACCTTTAAAAAGCTATTATGGGCCTCCCTGGTGGCACAAGGGGTTAAGACACAACCTATGGAGCTATCCAGAGCCACTGAAGTACGAGTTCGATCCCTGGTCAGGGAGCTACCCACATGGCACAGCAGACTTCTCCTGACTCACCTGCTGCTCCCCTCAGCAGTGTATTTCGGTCAATCTGCCTGTTCTGTTCCCCACTCTGTCTCTGGTGAATCTTCTCAAACCCCCCCAAACACCTCTGGCCTGTACCCCAGTTCTTGTATGCATAAATAAATAAATAAATCTTAAAAAAAAAGCTGTATAGTTTGTACAGATTTTTTTTTAATTAAAAAAAAGGGGTTAATACCTGGATTCTTCAAGTATACTACTAGGTCTTGCAAATAGGGTGCTTTTAACAATTGGATTACTGAACTCCACCACAAAGACATTTATTCAGGTAGAATTAGGAATAAGCATTTCAATACATGTATCAGGTGTTTCTTATGCATACTAAAGTTTAAGAATTATTACCATAAGGAAACTATTTCCTTAAGACTCTACATTAGATACAAACAAATGAGTCATTTTGAATTTTTTTAGGATTACTTATATTACTTATAACAATTGGAAAAACCCACACTATTAACAAAATTGTGATGTGGTATACAATATTTCTCTTTGATGAATAACCATATATGGGTATATGTGGATGGGATAGTTTTAAAATTGACCTCCTATTTCAATCTAAGTGAAATTCAATATGCAAGTGTACTTGGATCAAATGATTGCATAAATGTGAGATGGCATGATTATGTCATCACATGCAAAAAATGAAAGCAGACCACTTACACCATATACAAAATTAATTCAAAATGGATTAAAGAATTGGATTAAAAACCTGAAACTATAAGATACATAGAAGAGAACACAAGTGGTCTGTTCAACATCAGCCTCAGAGATGTGTTTGGGGACTGGTCTCCAAATAAAAGGGAAATAATATGCTGCCGTTTACACACGATGGACCTAGAAGGTATTATGTTATTGTAGTAATTCAAATGGTGAAAGTCAAACACCATTATGATTTTATTCATGTGTGGTATACAGAGAAAACAATCAAACGATGTACTAAATAAAACAAAAATAAACTTTTACATTATAAGATAAATTAGTAGTTACCAGAGGGGAAAAAGGATGGCAAATCAGGACAAAGTAGATAATAGTATGGCTTTTTAGTCATGAACTTGCTGTAGTATATGTGTTTGTGTGTTGATTTTCAAAGACATACACTTGAAGCATATCATGTTATAACACAAAGTTAGCCAATATAAATGTATCCTAGGTAGAAAGGTAGATAGATAAATGGAACATGACAAAGTAATTACAATAAAATGTTAACAGGGGTGAATTTGGGCACAAGGTATAGAAGAGCTTTTTGTGCTATTTTTGAAACTCTCTAAGAATGAATTTGTTTCCAAATAAAAAGTTGAAAACGTTTTTTAAAATAAAATAAAATAGCTCTTTTTATTATTATTTAAATAAAAGCAATTTTTATTCAGTATTATTGAACACCAAGCACTATTTTATATGTGCATTATATGTTATTTATATGTGCATTATATGTTATCTTATTTACATCTCATAACAGTCTTCTAGATATCATTATTAGCTTCAATTAACAGATGAGGAAACTGAAACAATGAAATCAAATGACTTGTATGAGATCACTTGGAAAGTACTAAAATTGAGTTATACCCATGCAGATTGACAAGAATCACTTTCATAACCACTTTACTTAGAGCTTTCCATTAAACACTTACATACTATCATTTTGAGCTTGAGTTTCAGAATCAGCAGCCAAGCCGAATCACGAGGCCCAAAACAATGCACAAATTATCAGATATAGCAAAAGTACTTTTATGTAGTTTATACTTCACCTCCTTTCACTGTAATGAATTATATTTCCAATGGAAGCAGGTTAGAACTTGGAATTCCTGTTCCCTCAGAGGATTAAGGCCAAGAAATACTAAGTAACTATTTCCTCATTTATCCCACCCCCCAGAGCAGAGTTAGAACAAACAAAATCCTCAGATCTGGCCAAAAATGGACTGCCTAGGGCATATAGTAAGATGAATAAACGTACAATATTACAATCTATTTCTTATCACATTTATGTTGTAATGAATGCCCTCTTTTTTTACATAACATTTTTATTATGTATCTGTAGGCTATGTATAGGGTAAAGAAACATCCATATACCAGTTTGAAGAAAATATTTCTTTGCTCTATTTACAGGATCGTCCAAATCTTCTGGTGTAAGAAATAATTTTACAGCCTTCACCTTTAAAAATCAAGCAAGCAAATATATGTTAAATGTAAATGATGAAAGACTTGCAAATATATATAAATATATATAAACATATATAAATTCTCTGGCATCTTAAAATAGGCACTCTGAAATAATAGTTGATGTTGCAATATTATTTTTAAGTTTTTAAACATTAAAAAATGTTAAGTTTAGAAATTAACCTTCTGTGCAAAGCAACTTTCTACATGGGTTTAAAATGTACTCAAAGAATACAAAGATGCTAATTTGAAAGGAACCTGCACTCCTATGTTTATTGCAGCACTATTTTCCATAGCTAAGATGTGGAAACAATATATATGCCCCAAAACAGGTGATTGGATATAGAAGATGTGGTCTATACACACAATGGAATACTACTCAGTGTTCAAAAAGATAAACTCATGCCATTCACAGCAACATGGATGGAGCTGGAAAGGATGATGTTCAGTGAAATAAGTCAGAAGGAAAAAGAAAAAAATATCAGATGGTTTCACTTATATGTGAAATATAGAGAAACCAAACAAAAGGTCAAGAAAAAAAGACAAAACTTGCAAACTAGTCACAGACCTGGGGCAACAGAAGAAGGGAGAGAACAAGGCACTATGATGATGGTTCCGGGGTGTTATGGTGGTGGGAGAACTATGGGGACTACACCTGAGGGAAGTAACTACTTACCATACAAAAATGAACAATAATATAAGAAAATGAATAAATAAAATATTATGGACTGGAAAAGGTACTCCCTCCTAACTCCCACAGCTCTACTTGTGTCATTCTTTCCCTCTATCATCAAGCTATGAATGCAAGTGTGATGTAATGATGTAAGCCTCATTCTTGGCCAACACAGACATTAAAAATAGGGTAAGAGGGACCTCCCTAGTGGCCTATAGGTTAAGTCTCAGCACTATCACTGATAAGGTCTGAGTTCACTCCCCAGCCAGGGAGCTAATCCACACAGGATGCAGCAGACCTCTCCCATCTCGCCGGCTGCTCCCCTTATCAATGTATTTCAATCAATCTGCCTGTTCTGCTCGCCAAGTCTGTCTCTGGTGAATCCTCTCACTCCCTGTACCTCTGGCCATACCCTAGTTCTTCTATGTCAAAAAAAGGCAGGGAGGAAAGAAGCTGGCATAAGAAATAGCAAGCCACTAATTTCATTTGTGTTCTCAAGTCTCACAATTGTTTGGTCTTAAAAATAAATGCCAAAATCTATTTTCAAAAATTCATCTTTATTTTTCTTTCAAACCTAAATAGATTAAAAAATGCTCCTTTTAGAAAAAAGAAATGGTATTTACTAGTTCCTGTATTTTCTCGCTGTCTCTAGCACTGTAATTTATTTCTAAGTATATGTCTTTGAGTAGGAAATGATCTTAAAATGGATCTAATATATTGTCCCACTCAATCATCCTTTACAGTATTCATCCATTCAAACAAATATGAGTTAAAAACAAATACAATTAAACAAATATTAATAAGTTTCTGGTATGTCCAAGGCACTGTGTCCTCATGAGAAATCAGGAGGTTGCAAGCTCACAAGATAAGGAAAATTCAGATTTCCTTGGGGGTGGAATGAGAATTTAAATCAAAACATAAAGAATGTAAAGGTTGGGGAGCAAGTGCTTCAAACAAAAAGAAAAGAGAGTTTGCTGGCTGCAGGAGTCAGTCTCTAAGATGACGCCCATGATGTTCACCCCCTGCTGATTGCTCCTGGTATTACATGAGAGTTTTGTGGCTTGTGTGGTATCACTGAAAAAACAGATTTTTAAAACTACATACCATTTCACTCTTCAGCAAAGCCAATCCGATTTGGTCTGTATGAACTTTCCTTCCCAACCCAAATCTCTGTGGTCCATAGTAATTCACAAACCCTTTATTCTGTGAACATAAAAAGTTAATTAATTACAAGTATACTGTTATGAACTGCAGACCTGTGTCACCCCAAAATTCACAGTAGAAATCCTAACCTCCAATGTGTTGGTATTTGGAGGTATGGTGTGGGGAGGCAATTGGGTGATAAGGGGAAGCGCTCATGAGCAGGAGTCGGTAACCTTATGAGAAAAGGGCCTGGAGGTAAGTCACTTTCCACTGCATGAAAATTCAATAAGAAGGCCATGCTGGACCGTGAGTTCAGAATTCTAGCCCCCAATACTACAAGTAATAAATTTCTGTTGTTTAAACGTCACTCAGTCTATTATTCTCTTGTTACTGCCCCAAACTAAGACAAATAACTACAATTCAGGATATGTAATCAAGTCTTTCTCTTCATATTTATTTTAATAAAATAATCCTATGATCAGCAATATACAGATGGGGAGCAAATGTTCTGAGAAATGCTACACAATTAAAGAATAGAAAGGAGATGAATAAGTGATTAAAGGTTAGAAAATAAAACCCAGGAAAAAACTTTAGCAATACATCAGTTTTTCACATTACTGAAGGGAATTTCTGGGGTGCAGAAGTCTCAGGTCTAAAATCAGGGAAGTTCTGGGAAAAGTGAGAAGGCTATGTTACATATTGCAGGATTTAATCTTTGCCCTGAAGCTCTTTCTTACATTCAGACTCTTCTGCTATCTGGAGATGCTGGGAATAAGAAACAGATTTTATTTCCAAACCCAGCAAATCCTAGCTCCCTTATACACAGCAGTTCATTTTTCAGTTATCTGGGTTTCTGAAAGCCTCATACAATGAAATGGCATCCCTTCGGCTGGAAGAAAAAATGGTAATTTATTACTGTAACCATTAAAGTGGTTAAACATGTCCTCACAAAGAAAATACCAGGCCCAGATGATTTCTTGAAAGGTAAAAGAGTCATCTACACTCCATTTATGGGGGGAGTAAACACTTATTCAGTCAACAATCATTTTTGAGCACCAACTTCAAGACTATGAAATAAAAGATGCTACAATAAGACAATATTGGATCAGGACAATACAAAACCTCACGTCACTCAGAAAAACATCAACTGCAAGTAGAATAAGTAGTGCCTGTATAAAATCTCAGTTAAATATTTTTCATTATTTTAAATTTGGAAAAATGACATCAGATAATACCAGAATAACCAGAAGATCTTTAAGCACCCCTTTGTAAGGGCAGGACTGGCCACAGTGCAGGTTTTCTGATCCCATGCAGACCGGGTAAAGGAGTCAGAGTCCTCAGTAGTTTTGCAGGTTTTTTATTGGGGTTCAGCGGGTACGTGGCAGGCAGGGGTGCTGGCTGGAGTTCGTTTTTACTCTATCTGGGCTGTCTGGAGTTCATTCTGCTGCTTCTCGGCTTCTCTTTCGGCTTCTGCTTCTGCTTCGGCTTCGGCTTCTACTGCTGCTGCTGCTGCTGCTGCTACTGACGTCCCTGTGACGCCGCCCTTAAAAGCCCAGTCTTAACTCAGCTGAATCCCATCTACCTATGCCCACACCCTATTCCAGGTGCCCGCCATCAGGCATGCATTCAGGACAAGGATCCATCATCAATCCTGATGGCGGAAGGGCAGAAAAGCCTGACATTTTCTTTACCCTACACCCTTCAAATTACTTAGTGATTATAGGGTAAAGAAAATGTCAGGCTTTTCTGCCCTCCCACCATCAGGATAGATGATGGATCCTTGAGGTCCTGAATGCATGCCTGATGGCGGGCACCTGGAATTGGGTGTGGGCATAGGTAGATGGGATTCACCTGGGCTGAGACTGGGCTTTTAAGGGAGGCGTCACGGGGACGCCAGCAGAAGCCGAGAAGCTGAGAGAGAAGTAAGAGAAGCCAAAAGAGAAGAAGCCCGAAGCAGAAGCAGAGAAGGCCAGAGAGCCCAGATAGAGTGAAGATTTGCTGGGGGCTGGGAGGACTGCCAGCCTCCCAGCCCCTCAGCACCCCTGCCTGCCACGTACCTGCTGAACCCCAATAAAAACCTGCAAAACCACTGAGGACTCTGATCCCCCCTTTACCCCATCTGCTGGATTAGATAACCTGCTCAGTGGTCAGTCCTGCCCTTACAGTTGGCATAAGTCGGCAAGACGATCCATGCAGATGGGTATGGAGCCCTCTGAAGACCAGGAGGGACTAAGGAGTAACAGACTGTTTCCCTGTGACGACGCTGGAGGCATCATGGCGGCACAGGAGATGGACGAGGTCCAGGAGCTGCAGGATGAGACCTCATGTGGAGTTGCACGAGAGGACCAGCCAACGACCCCTCAGGCAGCAAGAATCATCGGCGAAGAGAAGACCACGATTTGGAGCTCGCCAGTGCTGATTCAGGGAGAGGCCAACGAACTTGGCCTAATGGACTCGGACTGACGAACTTGGACTGACAATCCTGCCAGAAGGTGGAGGACCTTGGCAGTTTGGTTTTTTTTTTGAGAATCTGGGGGTGGCCAGTGGGCCTTGATGGCCAAAAGCAGCCTGTGTATGCCCAGCAGCCAGGCAGAGGAGAAAAGCCAACAGAGAAGGCAAAAGCTGGTGCTGATGCTAAGTTTGGGAAGCCTTGAGCAGCTGTTAAGCAGCCTAAGTATGCTGAAGACCTGTGAGTCTCGTAAAATCACCTGTGGGTGATGCCCTGCTCATTGTCGAGTGAGGGTGAGGAGCTAAGGAACCCGTCCCCCAAGGACGGGAACATGGCTTGGGGTGGAGCCCAAGCCGAATGTAGAGTTTGGATCCCCGACCCATGTGCTTGTGCGGTGGGTTGGCCTGAATGCAGGAGTCTGCGTGTCGCATTGGTGGCTATGACAGTCGAGTGTTGGAGTGACAGTAGACAGAAACCCTGAGGGTTGGGCGATTACCCCCAAAGAGTAGAGAATCCCCAATCCAGGAGTGAGTGCATCCTGGGGGTGGATGCTGTGTGTGGCTTGTAGCCGAGACTACAGCCAGAGAAGGCCAGGAAGCCTAACGGCTCCTGGTGTGTTACAGTAGATACCATGAGTGATTCCCCTCCCTTGTATGAGCAGTGCCTTCGGCAGCAGATTTGGTGGCTCATCTGCTGGTACCAATAATTGTCTTTTGCACTAGGTTGGGGCCCTGCCTGGACTTATTTGTGTTCTGTTGTATTTTGTTGTTATATTGTGATGTATTTGCTTTTGCGGGCCATGGCTGCATTGTTTATGTTTGCTAAGAAAATTGTATATATGAAGACTATATGGCAGAAAACCCTGAGGGGGTGGACTATAGGGTAAAGAAAATGTCAGGCTTTTCTGCCCTCCCGCCATCAGGATAGATGATGGATCCTTGTGGTCCTGAATGCATGCCCGATGGCGGGCACCTGGAATAGGGTGTGGGCATAGGTAGATGGGATTCACCTGGGCTAAGACTGGGCTTTTAAGGTCGGTGTCACGGGGACGCCAGCAGAAGCCAAGAAGCTGAGAGAGAAGTAAGAGAAGCCGAAAGAGAAGAAGCCTGAAGCAGAAGCAGAGAATGCCAGAGAGCCCAGATAGAGTGAAGATTTGCTGGGGGCTGGGAGGACTGCCAGCCTCCCAGCCCCCCAGCCTGCCATGTACCTGCTGAACCCCAATAAAAACCTGCAAAACCACTGAGGACTCTGACTCCTCCTTTGCCCAGTCTGCTGGATCTTAGAGGGCCTGCACAGTGTCCATTCCTGACCTGACAGTGATATATCAAACAAAACGTTTATAGCAATCAGAGCTATCATGTTCTAAAACAAAACCTCAGACTTCTTATTTGCAGGAGTTCTCAATTCCCTTTATTACAAGAATTAAACAAAAGTTGGTGAAAGCTGAGATTATTCCTAATGGGAATTTTATAATGCACAGCTATATTTCCATAAATGCCAAATGAAAGATGGGCAAAAAATTCCATCAAAGCTCAAAGAAACTGCCTCCCTTTTTTAAAGAGATATCACTTTAATAATAATTTTTCATAGGAAAAAAAGAATTTCAAGGAGGCTTAGAAAGAAAGAAAAAAGCAACCATACAAAGAGTATCTTGAGAATGTGATAAGAGTAAAATTGTTAGATTTTAAAAATCTTGTTGAATGCTATTTTCCTTACTATAAGGCATAATGTTGATTAAAATTTTTGCTTGTTTGTTGGTTTCCCAGCAAGGGAGGTATAAAATTGTGGAAAAAAGGTCTTCTGGTCAATAGCTTAGATCAATGTTTTTCAATGTTAGCTGTGCAGTAGAATCATCTAGTGAGTTTGAAAAAAAAATACTAATGTCTACATTGCATACCCAAATATTCTTATTCAATAAGTTTGGAAGGAGATAATGATTGCTAAAATTTTTAAAAGCACCCTAAGTTGAGATTTACTGTACAACATCAGAAGTTGGCACTACTAATGTCTCACAAGTCAAATCTAGCCCAACATCTTTTTGGTCAGTAAAGTTTTACTGGAACACGGTTATCCTCTCTCGTGTATGTGTTGTTTATGGCTGCTTTGCACTGTGACGGAAGAGTAGTTATAACAGGGACCATATGTCTACAAAGCCAAAAATACTTATTTTCTGGAAATAATAAATTTACATGAAAAAATTGTGCTGCCTTGTAGTTTAGATGATCAGACTGAGGCTGTTATTGAGACAGCAAACAAAATAAAGGGTCAGATAAAACCAAGCCAAAAACAAACCCTAGAAATCTAACTGTAGGATGGAAATTACCAGAAGGGCAGGGAAAAAAGGAAGAGGGGGCCAGATGGACTGTGGGGGAGGACTGTGGGTGCCGTGGTGGTGGGTATGATGTAAGGGCATGCACCTGAAGTCTGTGACCCTGTACCTGTGAGTCATAAACTGTGTTGTAAACCAATTTTAAAAAAAGTTAGGTTAAGTAATTTCTTATTGTAAGACATAATAAAATGTATATGATTTACCATTTGTACACATTTTAAAATCAAAATTCAATTGAAAATAGAAAAGGTTGTACATGATTTTGAAAAGGTAATGTAATTATTTACTTATCAGAGATTTTTTAAAAGATTCCTGAACAGGGTGGTATGGTAACATATATTTGAAGAAGTGTGAAATTATAAACCACGGTGACTTAAATTAAAAAAAAAAATACTGAACAAAGATTTCCCCTAAAATGAATCCCTCTGCCTAAAATATTATTCTATATGGCAAGTGTTAAAAAAAAACTCCTACTTATACAATTTTTTTCCCCTATGAAATGCTACACGCTGTATTTTTTTTTTTTTTAAGATTTATTTATTTATCATACGAGAGCCAGGGTACAGGCCAGAGATGTGGGGGGTGAGAGGATTCACCAGAGACAGAGTGGGGAACAGAACAGGCAGACTGACTGAAATACACTGCTGAGGGGAGCAGCAGATGAAACAGGAGAGGTCTGCTGTGCCATGTGGGTTTCTCCCTGGCTGGCTGGGGATCAAAGTCGTGCTGCAGAGGCTGTGGATTGCTTCATAGTGCGGTGCTTAACCCCTTGCGTCACCAGGGAGGTCCTAAACTTTCATGTTTTTTTTTTAAGATTTATTTATTTATTTATACAAGAACCGGGGTACAGTCCAGATGCATGGGAGGGTGAGAGGACCCACCAGAGACAGAGCAGGGAACAGAATAGGCAGACTGACGAAGTACACTGCTGAGGGGAGCAGCAGGCACAACAGGAGAGGTCTGCGGCACCATGTGGGACCCTCGCCCGCAGGCCAGGATCAAACAGGCTCTGCAGAGGCTGCGCACAGCTTCACAGCGCGGCACTCAACAAACTGTGCCACCAGGGGAGGCCCTAAACTTTCATGTTTTTAATATAAAAATGTACTAGAAAGAAAATATAAAATAAGCAAAATGGTCCTATTTATCATTTAAATTAATAATTATACATGCTTATAAAAAGAAAAGGCATAAGAAAAAAAGCTTGTTTTGAGAGAAACAAAGATTTTCTTGTAATAACTCTATTTTGAAATTGAGATTTCTTACCTTAACATTTTCTATTGCCTCCAAAATTCTCTCTCTCAAATTTGCAGAATCATTTCTGTGGGTTTTTAAATTTCGGATGACAATATCAAAGTGATTTCCCTTGAGCTGACCAAGTTTAAGGGAATCCTTTACAGACCGAATATTAAACACATTCATTCTTTTCTTTTCAATTTCTTTTTCAATATTTTTCAACCTATAAATGACAAATCATATAGATTCAGTTAAATTTTACATTTAAATTAACATAAGGTTTAAATGACAGTTTCCAGGTAAACACATATCAGAACAGCAAAACAAATTTGGGAGGGAATAGTCAAAAGTTAATGCTACTTCCACAACCATATACTCAAAATCCATTAAAACAGAATGATACTAACAAAGTCATTTTAAGAACTGACAAGCATTTATCTAGGTAGACTTTTTGACTTTTCTTTAATCCAAGTGATAGAACAATTATTTTCTTCTTTTCCTTACACTTTGCTCCTTTCCTTTTCTTAAATATTAACAAGGAAAACCTGATATCCCTAACACTCTGCTCTGCACACTTCTTTACTTTGAATTCTCCCTTGACATTTAAAGAACAGATTTCAAATATTTCAGCGTAACTTTTAAATTTTTATTACATTGATATTTTCTGTAGGCTTTATAGGAACTATCTACTTTATTAAGCAAACTGTCTAGCTTACTGCCTCTCCAAATATATCTTCTGATTTTCTGCATCTGCTAAAATATTACTGTCATTTAAGAGTAATTAAAATAATGTATCCATCAATCAAATCAAAGTATTCTCACCTAGGAAATAATATTTTTTGTCTTTGGTAGTTAAACTCTAGCTTTTAATATCTGAATACCTTTTAACATCCAAAATCCTTCTTTCTTACCTATGCTACACTTCTTAACCATGAAGACAAAATCCTACACATTTTTTTTTTCCCCCCTCATATAAGAGTCTAGAAGCACTCAGAAGCATCCACCCAGAGAGCAGATATTTACACATCTAATGACTAAGGATATTTACACAAGGACCAAGGATTAATACATCAGAAGTACATCAAATTAGGCTGAACTTCGGCCCAATGATTCAACTTTCTGAACTATATTTTCCAAAAGGAAAATATCCACAAGGCACAGATTTGAGTACATTAATATTAATCACAGCATTATTTCCACTGGAAAATTGGAATGAATTTCTATGTCCAAAACTAGGGGAATATTAAATGAATTAGTCTACATCATGGACATTATTTAGAAACATTTTCATGATATGATTTTTCATAAAACAATATATTCTGTTTTCCAAGGTAAAACATAAATTGGATACACAGCATGACTTTCAAAATTACAAAAAAAAAAGTCTGTATGATATGTGTATTAAAGTATAGTCTTCAGAAAGTCTGAAAGGAAATAGCAAAATATTATTATGGTTATTTCTGACTAGTGAAATTATTAGTGACTTTTACTATCTTTTTTATACTCTTTACTATTTTCTAAATCTAAAATTAATATGGGGCCTCCCCTGGTGGCGCAGGAGCTTGAGCGCTGCAATGTGAAGCTGTCCATAGCCTCTGCAGCGCCGGTTCAATCCTGGCCAGCAAGGGTCCCACATGGTGCAGCAGATCTCTCCTGTCGCACCCGCTGTCCCCTCAGCAGTGTATTTCAGTCAGTCTGCCTGTTCTGTTCCCTGCTCGGTCTCTGGTGAACCCTTTCACCCTCCCACGCATCTGGCCTGTACCCCGGTTCTTATATAAGTAAATAAATAAATCTTAAAAAAAATAAATAAAAATTAATATGTATTTTACAATATGCAATATTTTAATTTGATTAAGATGGAGGATAAATTTGAGTACTTTAATTCTAACATGGATTTATTATAAACACAGTGACATGTTTAAACAAGGAAACATGATGAAAATATTAAAATGTCATAGCAATTAGAAAAGTAAGTTATTTGTTATTAGAAACAAATTGGACCTTTTAAAATCTGCCACTTCTCTAAGCTTATATCCTAAAGCTACCTATATTTTCAATGTAAATTTAAAACATATTCTGTTAAGAAGATAATTACATTATTGATGCAGAATGTGCTACCCAATCAGCTGTTAATCAATTAATTATAAGCAGTGCTCTTAATAGACTTTTAGTATCATTTTGAGCTTTTAATCTTATATTTCTTAGTTGATTGATTAATGATGCAGTAAGTTCTCTCTTAGAAAGTAATGTCTTGTTACCTCTCTGGAGTTACTTTTCTAACAACCATTGCTTGATAGGTGATGGCTTTCTTGTCTTTAAGGCCTGCATAACTAAAATCTGAAGGAATCACACCAAGTTTGATAGCTAAAATACCAACTGCTTCAAACATTTCCAGATTTTCTTTCCGTAATGTAAAGGCTGAAACAAAAAAAATGCTAGATTACAAAAAAAGTAGTCACCATTCATCAATTACATTCTTAGCAGAGCAGCAGTTTAACATAATAAACCAAATCATTAATTAACAACTAATTAATAAGGAGTATTTTTGAATATATGTTCTTTCATTTTATTTGTGATACTTGTATTCATTATTCACAATCCAACAGCAGCTGGGGTTCTCCCTCAAGTTTGTTCTAGAGTTCTAAGGCTGAATGCATCAAAAAAAATATTTCTTTTATTGACCGTCATATCTTCGGTCTAACACAAAGTATTCAATTTTTTTTTAACATAATGAACAAATAAATGAATTCCGTAAGAAGCTGATTACTTAATTCTTCATGTCTCCAGAAATTCTCATTATCTGCATCATTACATTTAACCTACGTACTGTAGGTTACGTATTATATCTCTTTATGTTTTTCCTCTCTATAGACTAAGAGTTATAAAAAGACAGTAATAAAATACTGTTTGCTTCATGGATCTAACAGACATCTATAGACTATTCCACCCAAAAGTACTGCATATGTTTTTCTCAAGTGCATATAGAACATTTTCAAGAAGAGACCATATGGTGGGACCTAAGTCTACTGTCAATTAAAGTACAAATTATAAATATAGGTTACAATTATAAACTATACCCAGTAATCTCTCTCACCCTAATGTCATAAAGTTAGAATTCAACTGTGAGACAAAACAGGAAAAACAATGAACGCATGGAGACTAAATAGCATGCATCAGCAAAAGCAGTCTTAAGGGGGAAGATAACTGCAATACAAGCTCATATTAGAAGCAAAAAAAATCCCAAATAGACAATCTAATCTGACACCCAAAATAACTTGAAAAGAGGAATAAAAAAGACCCAAAGTTAATAAAAGAAGATAATAAAAATAAAAGTATAAATAAATGAAATAGAGATAAAAAGGAAAATTAGAGATACAAAAAACTAAGACATGGTTCTTTGAAAAGATAAACGAGACAAACCTTTTTTTGCTACACAAAGTTTTCTAGTTTGATGTGGTCCCATTTATTTAAATTTGCTTTTGCATCCCTTGTTACTTTGTCACTGGAATTGACTCTCCAAATACATTTCTGCAGTCTATGTCCAGGAGTGTATTACCCATGTTCTAAGTATTTTATGGTTTCAGGTGTTATATCCAAATCTTTCATTAATTTTTATGTGGTGTTAAGTAAAAATCTTTTTTTTTTTTTTTTAATGTGGCTGTCTAGTTTTCATAGCACCATTTGTTGAAGGAGCTTTCCATTTCTCCATTTTATGGTTGTGGTTGCTTTATGGAAAATGAATTCTCCATGTAGGTGATTGTTTATTCCTGGGTTCTCAATTCTATTCGATTGGTGTGTCTGTCTATTCCAATACTATACTATTTTGATTATCACTTTGCAGTATAATTGATATCTCCAAGGATCTTTATTTTCCCTCAAGATTGTTCTCACTATTGGGGGTATTTTGTGGTTCCATACAAATTTTAGAATTGTATGGATCTAGTTTTTATAGGGATTGTACTGAATCTGTAAATTGCCTTAAGTACCGTGGTCATTTTGACAATGTTTGTTCTTCCAACCCATGAAGACCAGAGAGCTTTCTACTTCTTTGAGTCTTCTATTTCTTTAGTAATGTCTACTAGCTTTCGGTGTTAAGGTCTTACCCCTCTTTTTGTTAAGTTTACTCCAAGGTATTTTATCCTTTTTGATGTGATTGTAAATAGGATCATTTCATTATATTTTCCCCACTAATTCATTGTTTGCATATAGAAATGCAACAGAATATTATATATTGACTTTATATCCTTCAACTTTACTCATTATTTCTAACAGATTTTTGGTGGAATCTTTAGGGTTTTCTATATATTATTATCATGTAGTTTGCAAGTAGCTATAGTTTCACTAATTCTTTCTCAGTTTGGATTCCTTTTATATCTTTTTTTGCCTGGGTAGGTTCCAATAGCATGTTGAAGAAGATTGGCATTCTTGTTTTTTACTGATTGTAGAGGTAAAGCTCTGGGTTTGTGATAAATAGGCTTTATTTTGTTGAGCAATATTTCTTTTATTTCCATTTTATTCCCCAGCCCCTCGGTGATTCTCTGGATTTCTTTCCCCTTTTTTTTTTTCAAGTGCCTTTATTAATGTTTTTGTTTTATGATACCATGTGAGTTGTATCAGTTTTTTTCTGTATCCAGAATAGACATTTTTTGTGCTTGTATCATAATAGAATGATGATGATTTTCAATCTTTTAGAATTGTGTGTATGTCATTCCAAAAGTTAAGGTTAACAAATATCCCACAAGAATATAAAAAGATGTTCATCATTTGTTATTTTTAGAGAAATGCAAATCAAAATGAAATGCAATCTCATACCTATAACAATAGCTATTATCCAAAAGACAAGAAACAAGTGCTGGAAAAATATAGAGAAAGGAACCCTCATAACTGTTGGTGGAAATGTAAACTGGTATGGCCATTATGGAAAACAGTATGGAGATTCCACAAAATAGTAAAAATAGAAATTCCATATGATCCATTTATCACACTTCTGGGTATTTACTAAAAAAATACAAAAGCACTAATTTAAAGAGACATATGCACCCCATGTTCACAGCTATTATTACAATAGCCAAAAATTGGAAACAAAGTGACCAGACAGATTACTGGATAAAAAATGTAGTGATACACACAATGGAATATTACTCAATTATAAAAAAGTGAAACCCTGCCATTTTAAACAACATGAATAGGACCTAAAGGGTTTACCTCCAGGTTCATCCATTCTTAGTAAAATAAGTAAGACAGAGGAAAAAAATCAAATGATTTCACTCATTTATGATAGAGAAACCAAACAAATGAACTACATAAAACAAAAATAAACTTTAAATTATAAGACCAAATTAGTGGTTATCAGGAGGGGAGGGGGAGAAGGTAAATTGGGTAATGGGGGTCAATTGTACAGTGGTGAATAGAATTGGATTCTCAGTGGTGAATACAATTGGATTTTTGTGGTGAACATAATGTAGTATATTTGCATGTGGATTTCTAATAACGTACACCTGATAGTTAGAAAATGTTATAGAACAATGTTACTTTAATAAAATGTATTTAGGGCCTCCCCTGGTGGCACAGCGGTTGAGCACTGGGCTGCGAAGCTGCCCACAGCCTCTGCAGCGCCGGTTCGATCCCCAGCTGCTGGCGAGGTTCCCACATGGCGCGCAGACCTCTCCTACTGTGCCTGCTGCTCCCCTCAGTAGTGTGTTTCATCAGTCTGCCTGTTCTGTTCCCCGCTCTGGCTCTGGTGAATTCTCCCACGCTCCCGCGCTTCTGACTGTACCCAGTGCTTGTATAAATAAATAAATACATCTTTAAAAAAAAAAAAATTACTACTACAGGTTTTAAACCTTTGTTACAGCAGCAACCAGTTTTTGGTGCAAAAATTTCTATGACGTTATCTAAAGCTGCACAATAAATCACCCCAAATCTTAGTGACATAAACCAACAATAACCACCTATTATCAATTATGAACTAAACTCTGTACCTCCCTCCAACCCCCAATCCATTGTCAAAGCACTAAACCCAGCATGGCTATATTTAAAGATGGAGCTTCTAAGGAAGTAATTAAGTTAAAGGAAATCATGAGGCAGGACAACACTTCATTAGGATTAGTGTCATAAGTAACATCAGATGGCCTATCTAGTGGCCTAGGGGTTAAGGCTCAACACTATCACCAAAATGGCCTGAGTTTGACCCCCCCGCCAGGGAGCTGACCCACATGGTGCAGCAGACCTCTCCTTAATTACCTGCTGCTCCCCTCAGCAGTGGATTTCAGTCAATCTGCCTGTTCTGCTCCCCACTCTGTGTCTGGGGAATGCTCTCACCACCCCCCCAACCTCTGGCCTACACCCCAGGTCTTCTATGCCAAATAAATAAATAAATAAGAAGAAGTTTAGCCAAAATAAAAATCTGAGAAATCGGGATTTGGAGGAATCATACCATCAATGCCTTCCTTTCACATAGCCTTCCAACTATACAGTTTTTAAAAAATTAATTCAAACTAACAAAAAAATTCTACATTTTTTGGCTCATTAACTCAAATTAATACTGTTAGAATTTTAAGCAGTATAAAATTTATAGCTGTTTAAATCATTTATCAGCAATTCCTACTGCCCCTCACATGCAAAGAGAGTTTTGCTTTCCTTTCCCAGTAGGTTTATCTGTTAACATTTATACCATGCTCATTTTCCAAATCCTATACTAGCAGTTTTCCCATGGAAAAGGCAAGTCACACAACCAGACAGAAATTTCCAGAAGAAAAAAATGCTAATATTTGAGTAGTCATTGAGCACTGAACATTTCCATTATTTCCTTTAATCCTTAGAATTATCATTGGGAATTATTATTTATGGCTACCCCAACTTTTAAGTATAAACAAAAGTTATAATTGTTAAGATTATTGCCCATGGTATTAGTCTTTTCATTTTTACATTTCAGAAACTAAGTGTTAAAGATATTATAAAGTTCATAAATCTTTTATGAACTTTTTATGAACTGAAGTTACCATGTAAAATCAAACCCAGACAGCTCCAAGGTCCAAGCTCTTTCTATTCACACCACAGAGTACAATGCTGTTTCTGTGCCATACACATTTGTGCAAATTTGGGTTGCTGCCTTTCTCTTAAATGTTTTACTGTGTAAATTTATAAAATATGACGATCTGAAATATTTCCCAATTCTCGTGCAGGGTATAGGCCAAATAAAACTGATCAATCTAACTTGTACAGTGATATTATAGAATACTATTTTATCAGTTCCATCTCTCTTCTTAGGAATCAAATACATTTCCAAGAACAATGATTCTCAAACTGTGGTGCCAGGAATCTATGAAAGTACTGTGCAAACCTTTTCAATTAGAAACTCTGAACAGGGCTCAGAAATTCATTTTAACAAGAATTTCTGTTGATTATAATGAATGCTAAAGTTTGAGAATCTCTCTCTAAGACAAAGGAAGGAGCTCCTTGTGAATTTTCAGGTTCACTACCAGAGGTAGGAAAGCTTGTTTCAGATTTTGATGTATTTGCTTCACTTTCTCAAGTATAGCAAATATAGTCTACTTATCTCCAAGTACCTCAATTAAGATAACTTGCAATATATGAAATCAAGATTGACTTCCAACAAAGTTTACTAAACACAAAATAGCTACTTCAACTTTATATATTTGTGACCATGTTAGCTGTTACTATCTCTGTTAGAATATTTGTGACCATGTTAGCTGTTACTATCTCTGTTAGCGACCCTTTTATCAATAAGGCAAATCTGTATAGTTAGTATAATTTAAAAGGCTTTATCTATCATCAAAAAACAGATACATATGTATTCTTTCCAATATCCTTCTGGATGAATAAGTCTACTTAATTCAAATAATTCAGTTATCACATACTTGAAATTTACCTAAGTTTATCCAAGAAAATGGTAATGATTAATTAAATTACCTGTATATATAACTTTCCTTTCCTGGCATTCAAGAAGAAACCTTTTCCTTTGCTTATGTGCTTTTTCCCGAAATCTCACAGTTATCACTACATTTGGATTACCACCTTCATGATTCAGTTCAGAAAAAGATTTGGTTTCCACAAGGTTTCCAAACTTTTTGTTGACAAAATGATGGACAGCTTTTCTGTGGTCTTTGTTTGTATCAGGTTTGAAGGTAAATTTGGAATTTTCTTTCTTTGCATCCAAATATTTAAAAAAGTCAAATGCTTCTTCTTCAGATACCAAGTGACAGAGTTCTTTATATTCAAGATTTGGTTTTACAAGAATTTCACTGTTTTTTCCTACAGTTATTAAAAAAGGAAATTTCTGCCTAATAGCACTATGCAAAAGAGCCCTCTGGTTTTTATCAAGGATTCTGCCTAATGAGAATTCAGGAGATGGCCTAAGTAGCTCAGTTTTTGACTCCCATTTCTTTTTTACATCACAAGCAAACTGACTCAGTAATTCATTCATTTTTTCATCTAACAAAGAGCCTAATACATTAACATTTTCTTCTTCCCCTTTGGTAGTTACATCATTGATAGTATCTTCCTTTTCAGAACCAGAATGATGATTCTGGTCAACAGCAGAATGCTCAGTCAGAGAATTGACTTCTTGGTTGTTTTTTTCTTCAACCGATAAATTTTGAAGATCAAGCTTTGCTTTTTTGACAAAATTATTTGGCTGAGATGATGATTCACTAAACTTACAAATAGGTTCATCAGTGGCTTTATAAACTAGCTCTCCTTGTTCATCAATCTCAGTCACAACAAAGTCACTTGCTGAGTTTTTTATAGTGCCATGAAATCCAACATGATCAGTAAGGAAACACAAAGAACTAAACCTGGTTCTAAAATCTGTATCCTCTTCCATTCTTAAATACCAATACCTATAAAAGACACAAAGGGGAGTTAGTTACCAGAAAGAGAAGTTGTGGCTAACAAAAATATAAAGGGCTTTATCTAATTCTCTTTCTCCCTTTCAATTCTGAGTCCCCGTAAAAACATTAATTAAATGTATTCAATTTGATTCGCCTATACTAAGGTGAATCAACAAAGTTTTTCTGGCATAACTGGTGGCTTACAACTTGACTCTTCACCCACTCCGAGCTTCCATCTATAATCCAGGACTAAAATGTATCAGCTTCAAGTTCACTTTAAAAATACTATTTGTAGGGCCTCACTGGTGGTGCAAGGGGTTAAGCACCCCACTTTGAAGCATCCACAGCCTCTGCAGCACAAATTCGATCTCCGGCCTGCCAGGGAGCAACCCATATGGCACAGCAGACCTCTCCTGACTCGCCTGCTAATCCCCTCAGCAGTGTACTTCAGTCAGTCTACCTGTTCTGTTTCCTACTCTGTCTCTGGAGAATCCTCTCACCACCCACATCTCTGGCCTGTACCCCAGCTCTTGTATGCATAAATAAATCTTTAAAAAAATAAATATACCATTTGAGGCCCACAGAGAAGAGACTAGAAGAAAGGGCTGTTTACAATGACGGCCTAATATCCCCTAATCCCTAAACTTTGAAACTAAAATCTTTGTTGCTGGATTTTAATATATTAGGGGTTAGGGATAAGAGAAGGGAACTAGAGAAGACAGGAAGAAATAGTCAAAATTGATATATAAATGAATTTCATTTTTTTAAGATTTATTTATTTTTTGCATAGAAGAACTGCGTGTAGGACAGAAGTGCGGGAGTGAGAGGATTCACCAGAGACAGAGTGGAGAGCAGAACTGGTGAATCTACTGAAATACACTGCTGATGGGAAGCAGCAGGTGAGACAGAAGAGGTCTGCTGCACCCGCTGTGGGTCAGCTCCCTGGCCTGGGATCGAACTCAGGCCATAGAGGTGATAGCATGATAGCACTGAGACTTAACCCCTAGTCCACCAAGAAGGTTCCATAAATGAATTTCTAAGTACAAACTTGCAATGAGATTGTGATTTAGGTAAGATTAAATTAGTCCTGAACCTTACACCTTCTTGAAAGTCAGACATAAACTATTACAGATTACAAAACTTCAGGTTGACCCAGAGGAACATTCCAATCAAATCACTGGCATCAGAGAGAAACCTTTACAGAGCCTTCCTAGAACTTTCAGAGCACTAAACAAGAAAGCTTCACTCACTCTTCACACAACCCATGGCTACCATACCCAATGGAACTACAAGAAAAATAAATTGCCCAGGGGCACCATACTACTCAGTTCTTTGTGTTAACTACAGTCTCTACGTAATTTATTATCATCTGTACTTTCATCCCATTTCTATAATGTGAAGGAATTTAATAAGGAAAAAAGGAGTTGCTTTTGCCTATGATAATCAGTAAAGATATGATACAAGAAGTGGCTGCTAAATCCTCAAAGTGGTTCAAGAGCCAGAAATGAGGCAGACACACAGCACAAAAAATGACAACGGAAACATGCGGTGTGCAGGGGAAAAATGAACAACCCATCTCAGAACAGCAGGGGGAAAGGTTTCCTGTTCCAGTTCTGGAAAATAAAGCTGGATTAGTGCTAAAGTACTAGCACTAAGAAAGACACTAAATGCCTGATCAAGAACTTAGAATCCATTAAGTGGATTCTAATGATCACTGAAGTGTTTTGAGTAGAAAAATGCCAGAATCCAAAAAGATATTTTAGTAAGATGACTAATAGCACTGAGCAGGACGCATCTAAAGAAGAGTTAGCAGTTGGGAAGAATGTGATCAAGAGCCAGGCTGTCAGATGGGCCTTGGAAAGAATAACCATCTCCTCTTTTTACAGCAAAAGGAAGAGGTTGTGAAGACATTCTAAGTGCAATGGGTAAAGCAAACCTGGGAGAATATAACTAGGAGGGAATTGCAACTGAGCATCTTAGTTAAGAGTGGAAGGAAGGGCCTCCCTGGTGGCACAAGGGATTAAGCACTGCGCTGCTACAAAGCAATTCGTAGCCTCTGAAGCACAGAGAGAAACCCACATGGCGAGGCAGAACTTTCCTGCAGTGCCCGCTGCTCCCCTCAGCAGTGTATTTCAGTCAGTCTGCCTGTTCTGCTCCCCAAGCTGTCTCTGGTGACTCCTCACACCCCCTGCATCTCTGGCCTGTACCCCAGCTCTTATATGCATAAATAAATCAATCTTAAAAAAAAAGAAAGAAAGAAAGAGTGGAAGGAACTGAGCTGGAGAATAGCCAAGGATCGCTTCTCGGCCTTTTGGCTAAGATCAAGTGAAGAGTAGCCAAGGAGCACATGTGGAGTTACTGTACTAACGCAGAATTCCTGAGCAACACATCTGTTCATAAGGCCGAGGGGCTAAAACTGGGCGCGATACTTGTCTGACCAGATTCTGGGGAGATCACAGAAATGGGGGGAGAGCCTTTTCCTTCTAGCTTCTCCTGCACTAATTGCCTAGGTCCCGCCAAACCTCCTACTACTCTCTACATCTGCCACCAAACCTCACACCTGAAGTCTCCACGGGTTGACGTCAGGAGCGTCCAAAGGTGCCCCAGACAGCAGCTTCAATTTTCCCTCTCCCTTCCCAGCCCATCCTGTTTCGGGGCGCGATTGAAGCCCACGATCCCCCCTCCTGGGGGCAAAGAGTGGGGGTCCCAATGCCGATCTTTCACAGTCCCATTCACAAAAACCAGATCGCACAAGAAGGTAGACAGACCAGGGCCGCGATCTACCTCACATCCAGGTGCAAGCTCTTCCTCCCACCACATTGTGCGCATGCCCGGAAGTCTTACATTTAATTAGCCGCCGACAGAAGCATGTTTAAAGGCGCAGGCTCGCCCTTAAAGAGCCTTGCGAGACTAGGAGCCTCTCGCTCAAGGGAGGAGTAACGGGGAAGGAGGAGTCGGGGCGTGGGCGTGGCCTGACGGCCAGTGCCCGGCCCCGCCAGCGCCGGGCCCCGCGCAGGTAAGACCTTCCCGCCGAGCGCGCGGCATCCGCCCGGGACTGGCTGTTGAGGGGTCCCGGGCTGTTGAGGGGCGGTTTAGGAGGAAAGTCGCCTTAGCTTCAAAGTGAGAAGTGTGGGAGGAAGTGGGCTGCATGGCGGGCGCTGGCTACGGGGCAGACTGGGTGGGGCCCGGAGATCAAAAATCTAAGTGACCTGAGACGGGGTCCGAGGAGCTACCTGAGGGGTGCGGGGGTGTGGGGTCTGAGGCGGCACCTGGCGGGGATCCGAGGAGCTCCCTGAGTGGGGGGACTGAGGTGGGTCCTGGGGATGCATCTGAGGAGCTACCTGAGGGAAGGGGCTGGGCAGCGACCTGAGGTGGGGCGGGGCTGAGGAGCCACCTGAGGCGGCACCTGAGGCGGGAGAGGTGTCCCCAGCCTTACTCTAGCGCTGCAGCCCCTGCCTCCGCTTCCTGCGCTCCAGAGCCTGTTTAGGAAATGCCGACTCTCCCTGAGAAGCAGGAAGTGCGGCTCCTCACGCTGTGAGCCGGCGCCAGATTGAGCCCCGGGCTTCCAGGAAATTAGGACGCGGAGTTGGGGTGTAGGGACCCGATAGGCGCAGCAGCCGAGGGGAGAGTGCCTGGCGGCCTGGGGGCAAGAGAGGAAGCAAAGGGGCAAAAGGCCGGCCCTGGGGGAGCGAGAACGCATTTTGACCACGTCGAACGGGAACCCATAGCTCGAGTAAACGCATAGCTCGAGTAAAGTTTCTGTCGCAGCAGGCCTAAGAGCGCAGGAGATGAAACCTGCTGTGCCCTTCCTAGGGGAACCCTTGAGGAGTTTTGCAAAAAGTTCCCCTTTCATCTTCCTGTTGTCATGCTGAACATCCGTTAGAACTTGCTTTCCCTTTTGTGTGATCTTCCAGGTCAAACTCACTTCCACGGTCCTCCATCTCTGCATCAGGAAACTTGTTCAGGCGGGAAACCGTGGTGTCCCCTCGCACCTTCTACAATTTACAAACCAGCACAAGATTCTTTTTGCTCCACCTCAGAAGAGTGGTTGCCTGGGACTCTGCATCTCAGCTGACACCCTGGCCCAAGCTGCCAGCACCTCCCACTACATTCTGGGTGCGCCCCCACTTAATCATCTCTTCCTGCTTCGCTGCCCTGTCTCCAATATCTGTTATCTTAGAATCAATCAAATTTCCTCTTAAGACATGAGAGTAGAGCATGGCTCTCCTCATCTCAACACCGGAGCTGTCTTCTCATCACTCAGAGGACAAACAACACAAGGGTGTCAGGCCCTCAGAGACCTGGCCCTGACCAATCTCTTGTCCATACTGCGCCTTTCTTGCCCCTCCTCTCCAGTCTCTGTCCTTGCTATTTTGCCCTCCAATTTTTCTCACAGATATCCCAGTGTTTGGCTTCCTCATTCCTTCAGAACGTGAATCAAATGATACCTTTTATAGAGGCCTACTTTATTAAAAATGGAAACACCTCTATTTTTACCCTCCTGCTCTGGCTTGCACTCTATAATTTACTATAGAATTTGCTTATTATCCGCCTTCCTCAATTAAAGTATAAACTACAGGAGTTCAGTTACTTTTTTCCTATTTTCTTAATATTTTATCTTCAGCAATATTACATGACAAAGTAGACACTGGGTAAATGTTTGTTGAGTTAGTGGTTTTTTTTCCCAAAAAATATTTCCAAAGCCTTTTAAATTCTCATTGAGTTAAATCAATGCTTGAAAGTGATATGTTATGAATATATAGAATAGCACTATAAAATTTAATATGTCCAGATGTTATTCATAATGATGTGTTAAATTGTTCAAAAATAAAAATTAATGACTATCCAGCATATTTTTTCTTAAGAAAGCAGGGGAGTAATGGCTTTTAAAAAGAGTATAAGTCTATTGAACAAAATACTTGATAAAACAATAGCCATCATCTGAAAAGTTTAACTATATCTTAGACTTCTTATTTTAAGTCTCTCAGTATCCCCTAACCATAATTCTGAGAGTTGAACTCAAATGCAATTGAATACATTTCTTTTTTAAACGATGATTTGAAACTAACCCTAAAATAAAATAGTAATAACTAAATAGTAATAACTACTTTTTTACTATTAAAAGTAAAATAGTAATAACTACTTTTTTGTCACCTATTATGTCTCAAGACTAGACCCTTTGCATTTGTTAACTTTACATGTTCAAGCAACTATTAGGTGTTACTATCTCTGTTTTTCATACGAAGAAACCAAGGTCCAGAGAAATTGAGGTATTGGCTCTAGTCACTGTAGGTTTGTGGACCAGTTCTGATCAGAACCCAGGACCACAAAACCTTCTCTCCACCCTTCTACACTCTCTTCCTCTGGCCAGAGTGCTAATGAAGCACAGTTTTATAAATTTTATTAATTCACTTGCAAAGAATTCCTATTTTGCATCAAAGTGATGTGTAAAAAATTCATTCAGAGTGCAACAAATTTTCACATGGCAACGTTTATTAATATAATTCCAGACTACACATTGCAGCTAACTTTTAGGAAACTATCTCATGTAAAGTATAGCTTAGTATCAACTACTTTGTGAAAACACTGTTAAAATACTCCTCTCTTACCCATATATTTATGTCTTGTGAAACTGAATTTTTTTCATATATGTCAGCCAACCAATACATTGTAATACATTGAATGCAGAAGCAGATAATATATGTTTCTACTAAGTTAAACATTAAAGATATATGCAAAACTGTAAAACGATGTCACTCTTCTTTTTTGGCAAATACGTTTTTTATAAACATGCTTGCTAACTGTTCATTTATTATTTTTAAAGAAATTAGTTAAGTAATTTTTTTAATTTATCAGTGTCAATATGTAATATGTTAAATATTAGTAGTTATAACCATAAGTAAAATTTCTTTGGAGTCTAAAACTAAGAGGGTCTTGAGACCAAGTTTAAGAACTGCTGCCGACTCTCATTCACTCTTACTCTTCCTCCACTGCACAGCCAAACTTCTTAGAAAATTCATTCATTCACTTCTCCACTAAATCTGTTCTTAAGCCATCCATTCAGTGCCCTTCTGGTTTCCATAGCTAACACATCCAAATTTATTTCCTCTCTCTGATATTTTTATGCCAAATCTCTGGTGTGCTACTCCTGATTTTCTTCTTGTCTTCATGACATATTGTTACTTTTTAAAGATTCTTCTTTCTCTTCACTCCTTTGAATTTTATATATTCCTAATAAGCAACCTCAGACTTACTTGTTGCTTCAAACAATGATTCACATATGAATACATGAGAATACTCATACAATGTGCATTTTCTACCTCACCCTATCTCAGACTACGTGCCTGGCTATTTAGTGCCAACCCCTCCAGATAGTGCCAGAGGTAGTGATTTCACATTTAACATGACCAAAACGGTCATGTTTCCTCCACCAAGCCAAAAAACCCAGGAACCATCTTTGTTTCCCTCATGCTCCCTTCTAATGCTGATCTTTCTTCAAAATGTTTTGTTTGGCTTCCTAAATCTTTGTATCTTTTTCTTTTCCATTCCCTACCCTATGATTCCTTCAGGCCCTCAGTTCTGCTGACCTAGATTGTTTTAAATTTCAAACTGGTTTTCTTGCCTTAATGCACTTTGTTTCCATTTATTACCCAAAGAAAAACCACTAAACCAAATACAGCTCTGCATAACAGAATTTTCATTAGAATCCTGAAATAGTTTTCCTGTAACTTTTAATAAAGTGTCAGCCCTTTATCTTAACATATAAGTATGTAGATAATTTGACACTATCTAACCTCTTCTCATTACTTAATGATGTACTTCCTATGGCATTGCCATAGCAAACTCTGATTGAGCCTAAGGCTTACTCTCCCATCCTGCTCTCACCTTTTCTCTACCTCACCCTCCAAGATGAAATTTTAGATCTTCTCACTTACCCTTCCAACCTCCCACTCCACTCAAACCTGTCTTCAGACTGCCTCTGCTTGACACTCTGGGCACCTAAAACTTTCTTTATATACCTGTTAATAGCCTTTTTTCACTTCTCATAATTGTTGTAAATCTGATAAACTTGAAAAAAAAAGATTTTCTCTTTTCAGTAGTCCTCATCACTTAGTACAGAGCCTGACATATATGCTTATAGGGTGTATAAAAGAATGAAATGTAACAATTGGTTTTACTAGAGAGAGAATGGCATAAGCAGTGTGTTGAGTTACAGAAGAAGGGACATATGGTGTTCTGTGATTTGCCTTAGGTCATACCATAACTCTTAGATACCAACTTTGTGGGATAGAAATGATAGATCTGTCTTAGTCACTGTAAGAATTAAGTGATATATAGAAACAGCACGGCACTGGGCAAGAAAGTCATTCGTTCCTATCACTTAAATGCCAGTATCTTTAATGTGCTAGTCTCTACTTTTATATTAGTGGATACAATGCACATAGTTCTGAATTCTTGGATCCTATAATCTAATGAGGGATGACACAGTTAAAAAACTAGGCACCTAAATATATGATTGTAAGTACATTGTGTAGTGATGAACTAGATTGACAGTAGATAGAAGGGCTAGATGTGAAGACCAAAGAGAAGAAGAGAACATCAATATAGAGGTCTAGGTTATAGGGAGAATTTTTTGCTTCTTACTCTTATAACTGCTGAATTTTGTACCACATGAATGTATGTATCCAAAAATGAATAGTATTTTAAAAATAAAAATATAGAGAAGAGCAGGAGAATTCTTGACAGAAGAGTCTTTGTCTTGATTAGTTAAAAGGAAAGGTGTCCACCTGCTGAGGATGAGGGAATTGGAGATAATATAAAAACAAATCGAAGTAAAGGTATGAAATGGTCACTAAGGATGATGAATGAAGGCAAGTAAGGGATTAACAGCAGTGTTGAAGATGATGGGAAATGGGTTCCCATAAATTATATTCACACCAGTTTGCTCAGTTACCTGCTTCTCTACAGATGCATTCAGCAGTGCAGGTGTACAGGCAAAATAGATTTATTTCTGGCTGCATTTCTGCCAGGTGAAGTAGCAGAAGAAGAAGGGGATTGAGGAAATAAAAGTTCTGTTAGAGATTAAGTTAGTAAACCACGGGTTTGGCTTGGTAAGGAATGACTAGTGATTAGGCAGGTTTGCTGGACTCAGTGTGGAGGGGTTAGGAAGAGCACACTGTGGAAAGTAAGTGAATGAGTGATATCTTTTCATTGTTTCAGGACATTTTGGCTTTTTTGTGTAAATTTTCCTGGGAATATATCAGTGTCAGAAAAAAATCTAATTTTTATTGATATTAAGATATGGCTAAAGAAAAAACAAGCCAAGAAGACCATTAGACAAATAAATCAGAATTTTAATTTCTTGTTCAGATATCAACTATTAGTTGACTTTGGAGTGTTCCTTTATTAATGTGTAATTTGTTGCCAGCATTTCATTAACATAACAAAGTGTGATATGTAAGTTTACAGGTTTCATTGCTAAAACTACTATAAAATTTTAATGAGAATTTTCCATATTTTAGGAATAGAAGATGAACAAGCCTATAACACCTTCAACATATGTGCGCTCCCTCAATGTTGGACTAATTAGGAAGCTGTCAGATTTTATTGATCCTCAGGAAGGATGGAAGAAGTTAGCAGTAGCTATTAAAAAACCATCTGGTGATGAGAGATACAATCAGTTTCACATAAGGTAATGTGAAATAATATTTAAATTTTACATCATAATTTCAAATGATTAGTAGACGTAATTACTGTCTAGTGTTGCGGTTCAGAAAGTAAACCTCTCCCTGTACAGATTATTATATTAAATAACCTCTTTTTTTCTTTCTCTAAATGATTTTTTATTCATCCTCCAATCTATCAGTAGTTAGGCTAATATTGTGATCTTGCAAGTAAGTTTTTTGGGTTAGCCTCAAGATTCCCACTTTTATTCTAGCTCCGCTTAGCAAGCCAAGTATAGGTCTACCTGCCTTACACTTCTCATTTCCACACTGAAATAATATAAGAATGTTACAAGCATCTCTAGTAAAATTAGAAGCCTTAACCTCTAGGTGTATGTTTTGGAAATTCTCCACAATGACATTTCAAAATTGCTTATAATCATGTACATCCATGGACAGAATTATTAATTTTCAGCCATGATTTTTCAATACTATCTTCAGATAATTTGCATCTTTCTCTGTAAACCTATATACACCTATATAAAAATCTATCTTTGGAAGAAAGAGGAAAAGAAACTTTGTTGTGATTTTTGTCATTAACTTGGAAAACTTCAAGTCACAGCTCCCATGTTATTTCTTTGAGGAAGCGTTTCCTCATTAAGGGTGAACATCTTAATTACTCTGAGGAAGCTTAAGTTAAACCTTAAAAGTCAGTTTTTAAAGATAGCTTGTATATTACTGTTAAAAACTTTTGGGGGACACTTGAGCCAATGTGGGTGGGGAGAAAAAAAAAAAAAATATTGAAAAAATGAAAGGGCCTCCCCTGGTGGCCCAGCAGTTGAGCGCTGATTACTCAAAAGTTATCAATTTACAGCCACCAATGAGTAGTTGATTCATTTAGGGCCATCTCTGGGTGCTGAAATCACAAGGTGAAAGTTTGCTTATGGACAAGATAAGCACAAGATTTCAAAGCATTATCCACAGATGACTTTTGAATGACAAAGGAGAAAGTTAATTTTATTAAAAAATCTCAACTGCGCCTTCCTAACCAAGTAATCAAGCTTTGTGTCAGCAATAATAGAACAAACTTGTCATATGTCTCCAGATGTGACACAGTGGAAAGGACACATCGCTGCCTCTGTAGTGTTCTTATCAAAAATTTATAACCTGAATTCAATCAGGAGGAAGTAGACAAATTTATACCATGGACATTCTGAAAGGCTCTGGCCTATATTCTAAAGTGTGCAGTCAGAGTGAGGAAGGGAAAGAGCGCAAATATGGTAAAATATTATGCGCTGGTGATTTGGTAAGTCTATGTAAAGAGTAAATTGTCAGAAAATGAAAGACAATTACCTATAATTTCTTTGAGGAAACACTTCCTCAAAAAAATAACATCGGATCTGTGACTTGAAGTTTTCCAAGTTAATGACAAGAATAGCCAAAGCAAACAAACTGTCAAAGCACAGCAGAAATAACTTAGACTCTACGAAAAATGTGATGGTTTCCAGGGGTGGGGAAGGAAAAGGAAGTGAGAGGCAGGGGTAAAGAGGTCCATTTAATAGTGGTTGAACAGCACTAGAACTTTATGATCGATGTGATGAGGCAGAAAAGAACATACAGTTAAGATTTAAGGAATATTTCAACAAGTTTATGTGTATTCTGTTTCTTTCATCAGGATGGTTTATTTAAAATCATGTAGCAGAGTTAATAAGTCACCAGGGAAGTAATAAAGTTAGTAGGTTGAGAACACACCCTATGTCAACTAAGACCTGAACTTGTATATCAGTGTAGATCCAGCTTATTACCTCTGAAGCTTTGGGTTCATTACTTCTCCACGCCTGGTTTTCTTATTAGTAAGTAGTGTGATAACCATATCTTAGAGAATCTTGAGAAATGAGTCATTTACTCAGTAACCCACTAAGTACTCAGTAAGTACTCAGTACATATTTACTTATACAATCATCATTTGCAGCATCTTTTTTCCTTCTCTGCAATTCTTTCCATTTCTCTTTCTGTCCTTTAATATTATGAGAGATGCTGTGGGTAAAACACAGTTGGGGGGAATATTCCTGATTTCATGTTAACTATTTACGTACTAATTTGGTTTCTTTGTTACTTGCATTAAGGAGATTTGAAGCATTGCTTCAAACTGGAAAAAGTCCCACTTGTGAATTACTGTTTGATTGGGGCACCACAAACTGCACAGTTGGTGAGCTCGTGGATCTTTTGGTTCAAAATGAGTTTTTTGCCCCTGCAAGTCTTTTGCTACCAGGTAAACCATGGGTGACTGAGGAATTACAATTAGGATGGAAACACAGTAGCAAAATTGGGAACATTTCTCCTTTCTCTTACTTTTTTCTCATAGTAGACAAACCTTACATGTGAGACCTTTTATGTTCTTTCGACTCTCTCCAACTCTTTAACAAGCACCCCAGAAGTGGAGACCATAGTCTTGCTGCTGAGGAGATGGAGGCTTTATGATTGAATCTGATCCACCATTGAATCAAGTAGCTTTGTGCTGACTGTGTTATATATGTATATATTTAGATATCTAGTTTAGGCTGTAAGAATTAATTATTCTTTTGAGTTCTTCCCTTTTTTCACCTTCAGCCTCCACCCTGATGGGACTGTCTATGATCATGATTTCCTAACATTGTATTGAGTGGGTTAGTGTCTGGTTACCTTCCTCATAACTTCCTCATTATTTTTTTCCCTTTGATGCCATTTACACCACTGGGTCTCATCCTTTAGTGTGCATAAGAAGTGCCTGTGATTCTTGTCAAACATGCAGCTTCCTGGACCCTATTCCAAGCCACATTATCAGAATTCTGGGATTGAGTTCAAAGTCTATGTGTTTACGGCTCATGGACCACTTTTTGAAAACACTGCCTCACTCGCTCCTCCCAAATTTATCCAGTGATAAATTCTTACTGGGTAGCTGCTTGTGTGTTCTGTGAAAATAAGGGGCTAAAATTTTGAAACTGGAATGATGTTAAATCAACTGGCTCCTAGTTTAACTGTTTCACAAACATCTTTTTCTTATGGAAGAACAACTTGTGTTTTATCTCATTTGGCAGATGCTGTTCCCAAAGTTGTTGATATACTACCTTCTAAAGAAACTGTAAAAATTCAGCAGAAACAGATGCCTCTCTTTGGCAAAGACAGGACATCTGTGATACCTTTGCAGAATCCAGAACAAAAATACATGCCACCTGACTCAAGTCCAGAAAAAACAAGCTTAGATATTAGTGATACACGTAAGTAATATTTGCAGTTTCTTCCACTTGTGAGCTTGTCGTTAAGACCATTACTGCTTATTAAATCTCTCCTGTGAGATGGGCCCTTGGTGTTCAGGTTATGAGGTTGGAGCTTATGAAAAAGCTCCTGGAGGGCCTCCCTGGTGACCTAGGGGTTGAGTCTCAGAGCTATCACCTCTTCGGCCTGAGTTTGGGTCTGAGTTTGATCCCTGGCCAGGGAGCTGACCCACATAGGGTGCAGCAGACCTCTCATCTCACCTGCTGCACCCCTCAGCAGTGGATTTCAGTGGATCTACCTGTTCTGCTCCCCACTCTGTCTCTGGTCAATCCTCTCACCCCTTACACCTCTGGCCTACACCCCAGTTCTTCTACCAAAATAAAAAAAGGAAAATAAAAGACCCAGGAGAGCTTTCTTGCTGCTTCCACCACATGAAAACACAGGAAAAGTCAGCTGTCTGCAGCCTGACAAAGAACTCTCACCAGAACCCAACCATGTTGGAACCCTGATCTCAGACTTCTCAGCTCCTAGAACTGTGAGCAATAAATCTGTTGCTTATAAGATAAAAAATGAAAGTTTAAAAAAAATAAATCTCTACCATTGCTTGTGCACACTGGAAGTAGCTCTTTTCTATTTTTGCTTCTTCCTGATTTATTAAGCACCAGCTTCATTGTATTCACCACTGTGTTATCAGTGAATAGAAGCAATAGGACATACAAACACCCACAGAAATTGTGAAAAATATAATTAAATATTTACATAACTTGAAAAGGCAATTTACTTTTTTACTTTATTTATAGATTTTTGCATCATTGTTCATTTTTGTATGAGCTTGATTTCTCCTCTCTGGTGTAATCCCCATAAAATTACCACCACAAAGACACCTGTGAACCATCACCATAGTCTCTTGTGCTCATTCCTCCCCAGTTTTGGTCCCTCCTCTGCTATGTACCTAAGATCTATAGTTTGCCTGCTAGTTTTGTCTTTTTTGTTGTTGTTGTTTGGTTCCCCTATATTCCTCCTATGAGTGAGACCATCCAATATTTTTCTCTTTCCTTCTGTCTTATCTCACTGAGCATAATCCCTTCTAGCTCCATCCATGTTGTTACAAATGACATGAGTTTATCTTTTTTGATCACTGAGTAGTATTCCGTTGTGTATATAGACCACATCTTCTTGATTTAGTCATCTGTTTTGGGGCATTTAGGTTGGTTCCATATCTTAGCTATTGTAAACAGTGCTGCAATAAATGTAGGAGGAAAAGGCAGTTTTTAAAAAAAAGGTGATTACAGTTTTGAGTGGAGACTCATCAAACAGAAATCTCGAGATAAAGCTTAAAATTTGTATTTTCAAATGCTTTTATCCTCTCCCATCATGCCTAATCCAAAGTTGTGAATATTTATGTATTTCTGAAATATTCAAATTGAGAAAATAATGACATTATAAAAAACAATTTCTTTTTCACTGAAACACTTTCTTCGTTATTTTACTGATACAGGTTTCTACAGCTTTTCATTCTATGAATTGAAGAATGTCACAAACAACTTTGATGAACGACCCATTTCTATGGGTGGTAATAAAATGGGAGAGGGAGGATTTGGAGTTGTGTATAAAGGTTATGTGAACAACAGAACTGTAGCAGTGAAAAAGCTGGCAACGGTAAGTTATATTTTCAGGAATAAAAATAATTAAGGAAGTTTTACTTCCTAATGTACTATAGAATAAATGTTAATCCTTAGGACATATGTTATTTTAGTGGGTCTTTTCTCTAAATAAACATCATTCTAAGCTGGAAGTTCTTAACATTTAAAAATCTGTGGAAAGCTATTTATTCCCCCCAACAAAAGTATGCTTATGCATACATACATACAATTATATATATAATTTAGGGAGATTCATAAACTAGAGAAACCCTGCTCTACACAGTGCATCCTGCATAATCAAGACTTAAATAGTAAGTAAAAATAACATTCTTTTTATTACTTTTCTCATTTAAAAATAAGATTTAGAAATTATACATTAAGAAAAAAGATGGAAAAATTTCTTACCTGTTTTCTTTGTTCCCATTTCTACTAGGTGTTCAGAGTTTATTCACTGGTTATATTCTAACAATATCAATAAAATGTATATTTATATAATAAACACTCTTTGTCATGTAGGATGAAATATTTGCAGGTTTTGTTTTTCTTCTTGCCTATGAATTTATTCATGTTTTCCATCACAGATTTTTTTCCAAGTTTTTCTACAGTTAAGTCGCATATCATTTAACTTTGTTGCCATAATAATTCAATGTTTATATAATTTATAAGATGCTTTCCTTCAACTAAACAACCCTGGGACCTTGAGCAAAAATCACTAATATTTTCCACTTTTCATTATTCTAGGAAGTGTCGAGAATAATACAGTACTATTTTAGAGAAGCAGAATCAGCCAGCACATCTCTTGTACTTCCTTCTAACTTCAAGCACAATGACCTTAGGTTATTGTTTTGTATTATATTATATTATGTATTATTTTGCTTTTCCAGATGGTTGACATTAGTACTGAAGAACTGAAAGAACAGTTTGATCAGGAAATAAAAGTAATGGCAAAGTAAGTCAATGTGACAGTATGGTACAGCCAAAAAGAACACTGGTTTCTTGTGTGCCATGAACCACGGATACTCATATTCAAATTCATAAAATTAAAATAGATAGTTTAGATTTAAGGAATTAAAGAACTTTTAATCTACAATTCTGTGACTACCTAAATTCATATGCCTATAGTCTTAACTAGTAGTGATATTTTAATTTTTTCCCCATCACCGTCCCTTGTCCCTTTCCCTTCCTCCCCCTTTAACCTTAGCACCCTCATAGTGTTTTTTGGTGTCCACTAGTTTTTGAACATGTTGATGTTGTCAAATTGTCTTCCATTTGAATGTCCAGTATTGTTTTTTATCATCCTGACTTAATTTGCTTTGAATAATTCTCTCAAATTGGCTTCATTTTGTTGAAAATGGCTGCATTTTATCCTTTTTATGACAATGTAATACTCCATGTTGTGTATATACTACATCTTCTTGATCCACTTGTGTTTGGTTTTTGTTTTTGTTTCTTGTTCTTTGCATAGAACTATGGTGTAGGCCAGAGGTGTGGGGGGTGGGATGAGTCACCAGAGACAGAGTGGGGAGAACAGGTGGATTGCCTGAAATACACTGCTGAGGGGAGCAGCGGACAAGACAGGAGAGGTCTGCTGCTCCCTATGTGGGTCAGCTTCCTGGCCAATGATGGAACTCAGGTCATAGTAGAAGTAGCATTGAGACTTAACCCTAGGCCGCCAGGGAGGCCTGATCCATTTGTTCATTGAAGGAGATTTAGGCTGCTTCCATGTCTTAGCTATTGCAAATAATCTGCTGTGAATATTGTAGAACATTGTGGATTTTTGTTGATGGTTGCTGTGTGTGGTTCCATGCACAAGAATGGAATTGCTGAGTCATCATTTTTAAAGATAAATTTAGTTTGCTTTCCAAAATGGTTTTATCAGTTTATATTTCCACCAACAGAGCAATAGGGTTGCTTTTTCTCTTTTGAAGATGTGCCGTTCTCATGGGTGTGAGATGTTCTCTCACTAGTTTAATATGCATCTCTTATATAAGTTACAATGAGCATTTTTTTAATGTCGTTTGGCCTTCTGGATATCCTCTTTGGTGAATTGTCTGTTCATATCTATTGCCCATTTGCTAATTGGGTTTTTTTTTTATTGTTGAAATGTATTAATTTCTTATAATCTTAGATATTAATCACTTATTATTTGTTGTATAAATGTATAAACCTGTTGTATAAGTATTATCTCCCATTCAGTAGGGTATCTATTTAATCCTTTTGCTGTGCAGAAGCTTTTTAACTTGAAGTAATCCCAATTGTTTTTCTTTTTAGTTTCCTTGCCACAGGGATCAAATTATTCAAAATATCTTTATCATTTATACCTTGGAACCTATGGCAAATGTTTTCTTCTATGTATTTTATTGTTATAGGACTGATCTAAATCTTTACTCCACTGGAATTTAGTTCTGTGAATGGTATTAACCAGTAATTTAACTTCATTCTACCAGTAATCCAACTTCATTCTCCATGTGTGGTCTTCAGTTTTACTAGCACTATTTATTAAAGAGGCTGTACTTTCCCTTTTTATAGTCATTGCTGCTTTATCATAGATTAGGTGCTGGTATGCATGTGAGTTTCTGCTAGGGCTTTTGATTTATTCCATTGATCTAGCCTCTTAATAGGGAAGTTTATGCTCTGACCCAATTCAGTCTCTATCTGCTCTCCATTAATGAGCCTCACATTCAAGCTAGGACTCTCACTCTGTGCCCCCACCTATGTGGCCCCAGCAATTCACCCACTATCATGATGTCTACTCATGTACCCTCTTATCCAGTGCAGTGCCAGTTCTTATGCAAGGGCTTTGCACTTCAGCCGCTTTTTCTCCTTGATAGTTGCATTGCTCCATTGTTGTTCTAGTTCACATAAGTTTTCCTGCCCCTTTCAGTAGGGCTGGAGTGCTCATTGTATGTGGTGGTAGTCAGTTTTCCCTCAGGGGTTTACATTGATTTTGTTGTGTTTGGAGGAGGCAAGCCCAGTGTTTTGTCTTCACTCTGCCAACATTTTGCCCATGTCCTTGGCGTTGTTTTAAATCACAGCAAAGTCACATGGAATTTCAACTATAATTCATTATCGTGCTTTCTGCTACCAGAACTCATGGCAGGTAAATTGTAGTGGTACTTTAAAAAAAAATTATTTATAGAATAATATTCAGTAGATCCTTAGATATAAACCAAGAAGTGTTATATGCATGAATTCTTAGAAGGTAATGACACAGTATGCTAGAAAATTATTGGATATCATCAAGAAGGGCAGAAGAAACAAATTAGGAAATTTATTCTAATAGTTATAGTGATTCATATTTGAGGTATCTAATATGCCATATTGCACAAAAATGCCACACAAAGCAATGCATTTTTCATGCATTTTCATTCAACCTTTACAACAACTGTTACAGTTCACCTCCAATTTTTCAAAATGAGATTTAGAAATTTTTAATAACTTGCCAAAGGCCACACAGCCAATAAATATTAGAACTGGGTTTCAGCTGAAGATCTGTCTGAGTCCAGAGCTTGAGCTCTTGATCTGAACACCAGTAGAATTTATGAATTTACCTTATTTACACCCACTGCTATAAATCATAAATTCTAGTTGCTTTACCTCAAGAAAGAAATAAGAGACTGGAATTCATTCATTCAAAGTAAAAACTACTCACACTGACTGACAAAACAATTAAAACTCTTTCAGGATTTGCTCTCCTCTGCCTTACCCCCATTCTTCAACCTAAAAGTTATGGGTTCAAAGTGGATAATCAGGAAAATATTATTTAAATAGTAAAAATCTCAAATATATCAGTCAGAGAGAACAATTTATAATATTTCTATATACTTCATGATGTTTGAAGTTTTTTTTCATCTCACTACAAGTAACTTTAGGACATTTTACAGTCTACAACATTCTATCAAGTGAGAATTATGTTTTATTTAACCACTACTCCACTAGACTTGTTACTAATTTTCAGTATTACAAAATAAAGATCTTTTAAATTTCTCAGAACCTCCCTGGTGGCACAAGGGGTTAAAATGCAACACTATGAAGCTATCTGCAGACACTGCAGCACGAATTCCATCCCCAGCCAGGGAGGTGAACCACATGACTCAGAGACCTCTCCTGACTCGCCCATTGCTCCCCTCAGCAGTGTATTTCAATCAGTCTTCCTGTTCTGCTCCCCAGTCTGTCTCTGGTGAATCCTCTTACCCTGTACACCTCTGGCCTATACCCCAGTTCTTGTGTGCATAAATAAATAAATCTTAAAAAAAAACTCTCTGTACATAAATCTTGAAATGCATCTCTGCTTGTTTCATCAGCGAGAGTCCAAGAATTACTGGTTCAAAATGTATGAACATTTAAAAAACAAACCAAGTATAAGAACAAATAGCTTTATAGAAAAGTTGTGGTAATTTATATTCCTACCAGCAATTTATTACAATTCCAAACTTCATGGCCCCCTCCCCACCATTGAATATTACCACTTTGTTTTAATAAATGTCAGTCCCTGGACCTTACTAACAGAATGACTTTAACCAAGTTTGCTAACTCTGTAGTCATTAGTTTTCTAATCTGTAAAATCACATAGTAGTTGTATCCTATTCTATATAAAATACCACCATTAAGTTATTGTATGGTTTAAATAAAACCAGGACAACTAATTTCCCACAATACCTTGTATAAAGTGTAAACTCAGCAAATGTTTTTTTAAAAAGCATTCTTTTTTCTCTCTAAATTTATTTATTTATTTTCTTACATCCTTGTTCATTTTTGTACAGCAATTGGTTTCTCCCCTCTGGTTTGTTCCCTTAGTTCTCCCACCACCACAGCACCCGTGATCCATCACCACAGTCCCTTGTAACCTTCCCTCCCCTGGTTTTGACCCTCTCCCCCTCCCTTGCTATATGCCTCAGGTCCATGGTCAGCTTGCAAGTTTCATGTTTTTCTTGATCTGTTGTTGATTTCTCTGCATTCTGCATATAAGTGAAACCATGTGATATTTAGCTTTTTCCTTTTGACTTATTTCACTGAGCATAATCCCTTCCAACTCCATCGATGTTGCTGTAAATGGAAAGATTTTGTCTTACTGGATAGCTGAGTAGTATTCCATTGTGTATGTATACTAAACTTTTTGATCCATCCATCTATTTGGGGCATTTGGGTTACTTCCATAGCTTCACTATTGTAAATAGTGCTTCAGTAAACATAGAAGTGCCGGTTTCCTTTTTTTGTTTTTTGTTTTTTTAAGATTTATTTATTTATACAAGCACTGGGTACAGTCAAAAGCGCGAGAGGGTGAGAGAATTCACCAGAGCCAGAGCGGGGAGCAGAGCAGGCAGAAGGACCGAAGTACACTGCTGAGGGGAGCAGCGGGCGGCAAGAGAGGTCTGCGTGCCATGTGGGACCCTCCTCCAGTGGCCGGGGAGCAGCCGGGATCGAACCAGCGCTGCAGTGGCTGTGCGCAGCTTCACAGCCTGGCGCTCAACCGCTGTGCCACCGGGGAGGCCCTGGTTTCCTTTTGAATTCATATTTTCATGTTTTTTGGCGGAATTCCTAGGAGTAGAATCACTGGATCATATGGTAGATCCACTTTTAGAGTTTTAAGGAACCTCCACACAGCTTTCCATTAGTGGCTGGATTAGATTGCATTCCCATCAGCAATGTAAAAGGGTTCCTTTTACTCCACATCCTTTCCAGCGTTTGTTTCCAAGTTTGTTTTTTAATATGTGCCATTCTCACAGGTGACAGGTATGATGTACTATCTCACTGTGGTTTTGATTTGCAGTTCCCTAATAATTAGTGATGTTGAATATTTTTTCATGTCTGTTGGCCATTTGCATTTCTTCTTTGGAGAAGTATGTTATCAGTTCACTGCCCATTTTCAATTAGATTGTTGGCTTTGTTTTTATTGAGTTGTGTAGTCTTTGCAGAAATATGCTATCAGTCCCTTATCAGTTGTACAGAGGGCAAATATTTCCTTCCATTCAGTAGGCTGTCTTTGTTTTGATTACTGTCTCTTTTGCTGTAAAGAAGCTTTTAAAAGCATTTTTAAATTGTGCCAATTTGGTAGAAAATGGATCTCTTATCATTTTAATTTGCACTTCTTAAAATATAAGACTATAGAAAGTCCTAGTTAAAATAATGAAATGCCAGAATTATAGATCATTTTGAATGAACAAAATGAGTAAGCACTTGCATGGAATACCTATCACATACTAGGTATATTTCTAGGCACATATTCACTTAATTCTCATAGCAACCATGTTACATAATTAGTTTTATTGTCCACATGCAGCAAGTAATTTCCTGAGGCTTGTTGAGGTTGTTCACTTGCCATAGGTCACATATCCAGGGGGTGGCAGATCTGGACTGTAAGCTTAGGACTTTCAACTCAGCCCAATTTTCTATTTACTGTACCTCAGATGCCTGCAATTTTTTTATACTTCACTTTTTAGTTGTGCTACTCTTGAGTATATAAGAAAACTCAGATTAGGTTATAAGTAATCAGATATGATTAAAGATCAGAAATGTGTAGATTTTATGTTATTGAAGATCAGGTATCTATAAATCAGTGCTCTGCATATATTAGAAAATTCTTATAAGTGTTATCATAAAAGTTTCAACATATTTCTTGATATTTATGCTATCAGTGAAAATTATGCTAAACAAAAGCAACTATCAGCTTAATCCTTAAACTATCATAGTTTTCAATGATCTGAACTGTTAAGCTCTTACTATTACATAGAAAGAGATTTTGCTTCTAATATTGATCAATATTGACTGAAAGGAGGAACATTTGCAGAAAATTACATAGCTAATAGTCAACATGAATAAGCAAACCATAATCTACATTCATTATAAATGATATGTTATATGTCATTTTCTTGTCTGTTTTTCTGCTAAAGCTCTAAATTGAATGACTTCCAACCTCCAGCTGAATATATGTATGTATCATAATAATTCTGAGTGGAAATTATTTGTCACAGGTGTCAACATGAAAACTTAGTAGAACTACTGGGTTTCTCAAGTGATGGAGATGACCTCTGCTTGGTATATGTTTACATGCCTAATGGTTCATTACTGGACAGACTGTCATGCTTGGTAAGGTGTTTGTTTATCACTTTGCTTGACTTTCTGTGTTGGAATACTAAAGTTCCTGTATAACAGAATCATTTAAACTCCATTAGTCTTAGTATTTTTCTCTGCTCTGTGAAAATTGTACCTTTGATATGTAAATTGAGGTTTCTACTTTATTAGGTGATAATCTAGAATGTAAAAATATCAGCTAAGGGTACACTTTGCAGACCCTCTTGTGTATTTTTGTCACCAAAAAAGCAATGCTAACCCCCATTTGATCTTATTTAGAGATCATTTTTAACAACTTTAAAGTAGTCATAAAATTCTTTGTTGTATATTATTATTTTCAGTAGTTTCTGGGAAAAATATTCTATTAGATATTTTGTATAGATTGTTTTTATCCTCCATCTTTTTAAAAAATTGGTTCATTTCTTCTTAAGGATGATACTCCACCACTTCCTTGGCACGTAAGATGTAATATAGCTCAGGGTGCAGCAAATGGCATCAGTTTTTTACATGAAAACCATCACATTCATAGAGATATTAAAAGGTAAGTACTAGTTTTAAAGTTTCAGAAGACCCTAATTAAATAATAATTTGTTCTCATTCTTTTTAGCCACTATTGACATGCATGTCTTAACCTAGAGCTTTCTGTGAAAGCTCATCTCACTAAGGACATCCACGGTTTCCTTTATTCAAAACCCAGTGGCCTGTATTTAGTGCTCTTCCATGTTATTGTGTTATTCTTTACAACTGTTGCCTGGTTGAAATTATTTTTATTTTATTTCTGGATTATAACTTCTGAATCACCTTCACCCTATATGGGTACTTTTCAGTTCTGTTTCTTCTTATTTATCTGTTTAATTAACAAATTTTAATTAAGTGCTGGCTATATGCTAGGTCGATAATATCATTAGCGAAAGTAGCATTTATAGAGTTTGACATCAGTCAAATAATCACAAAATAGTAATAGAATTTTAGTGTGCATCATTAGTATAAAAAGAGTTCCCTGGCACCCCCTGGTGGCACAAGGGGTTAAGCTCAGCACTATGATGCTATCTGCAACTACTGCAGCAGGCGTTTGATCCCTGGCCAGGAAGGTGACCCACATGGCGCAGCAGACCTCTCCTGTCTCGTCCGCTGCGCCCCTCAGCAGTGTATTTCAGTTGACCACCTGTTCTGCTCCTCATCTGTCTCTGGTGAATCCTCTCACCCTCCGCACCTCTGGCCTGTACATCAGTTCTTGTATGCATAAATAAATAAATCTTAAAAAAAAAAAAAAAAGAGTTCCTGAGGAAGTCATATTTAAACGGAGATTCACACAACTAGCAAGAAATAAGAAGGCAGAATTTGAGAAGTGTTATGAAATTGGAGGAAAAAACACTTTGAGCAGAAGGCACCACATTTACTAGACTGGTAGTGATAAGGAACATCGTAGCATGATGCATTCCAGGAAGCGAAATAAATGCAGTGTGACTAAAATGTAGAAATAGAAAGAACTGTTGATGCAAAATAAAATTATAGAGGTAGGTAAGGAGCTGAAACTAAGACCTAGTAGACTAAGGTGAAGATTTTAGTTTCATCATAACTATAGTCTGATGTCATTGAAAATTATAAGTAGGAACATGACATCATATTTAAGTTTTAGAATACCTTTGACTAAAGTATAAAGGACTATTTGTAAGAAGGGGTAGCTGGAGGGTATCATAGAAGTCTATCATGTTAGAATTTTGTAAGGATAGTTAGGAGGCTATCATAGAACATGGTAGTAGTTCATAGAAGAGAAGTGAGCAGATTTAGAAATTAAAGTGGTAGGATTTGATGATATCTTTACTGCAGAGGCATGAGGGAGAGTGGTATCAGGAATGACTCCTGGATTTATGGCTTCTAGAATTCATTTTGGATTGATTATGGCATGATTCACTTATATTAAAGGCACCACAAAAGAACCTGGCTGGGGTCAGGAGATTGGAGGGTGTGGACAATGTGACTTCTCCTTTTGTACACATTGTGTTTGAGGTTATTTTAAGATATAGGAGTGGGAACAGATAGAATGACATACAGATTTGGAGCAGGAAAAATAAGCTAAAGATATAAATTTGTGTATTACTTGCATTCAGGTAATAATTGAAGCACGGTCATATGATTGTAATCGCTTAAGGAGAGATACAGACTCTGAAAAGATTCCAAATCAAGTCCTAAGGAATTTTATAATTTTTAATTTTATTGCCTTAAATATTCTATTGAAGTGCCATTACGTTACATCATCATTAGTGTTTTGGAAGTACAGGATCTCCCCCTTCAGGTGTAGCTACCATACCACACCCAGCGCCATAGCACCTCTGGTCCTTTACCCTTGTCCACTGTGCTTTCTCTCCACTTTGTTCTCTCTGGAACTTTAAGACTTATTACTTATGTAAAAGAGAATTAATCCCAAAAGGCATCTAAGAAAGTAGGCACAGAGGTAAGATAAAAAAACAGAAGAATATAGTATCCCTGAAAAAAAGGAAACAAAGTATCCATTTGATAAGTGCCATAAAGGTCATTAGAGACCGAGTTCCCTGTAGTAAGTAACTGGGTCAGAAGTCAGGTGGTAGTTGAGCAGAGAAAGGGAACTGAGTATAGACAAGTCTTTTTAAGACATTTAGATAGTGAACATAATAACTGGAGATAGTTGTTATTCAGGAAACTTTTCTTTTTTCTTTTTTTTTTTTTTTAAGATGGACTCTTTTTTTTTAAGATTTATTTATTTATTTATACAAGCACTGGGTACAGTCAGAAGCGTGGGAGGGTGAGAGAATTCACCAGAGCCAGAGCAGGGAGCAGAACAAGCAGAAGAACCGAAGTACACTGCTGAAGGGAGCAGCAGGCGGCAGGAGAGGTCTGCGTGCCATGTGGGACCCTCGCCAGGCAGCCGGGGATCAAACTGGCGCTGCAGAGGCTGCGGGCAGCTTCGCAGCCCAGTGCGCAACCGCTGCGCCACCAGGGAGGCCCCAGGAAACTTTTCTTAAAGCTTTTTTTTTTTTTTTTAATTTTTTATTTTTGGGTGGAAGAACTGGAGTGTAGACCGGAGGTGCAGAGGGTGAGAGGATTCCCCAGAGACAAAGTGGGGAGCAGAACAGGCACTGGGGAACAGCAGAAGAGCCACTGCTGAGGGGAGCAGTGGCCGAAACAGGAGAGGTCAGCTGTGCCCTATGTAGTTCGGCAACCTGGCCTGGGATGGAACTCATTCTGTAGTGGTGATGGGGCTGAGATTTAACCCCTAAGCAACCAGGGAAGCCCCAGAAAACTTTTTTTTTTAGATTGTAGAGAGTAAAGCATACTTGTATGCCTGTGGGAAGAGAAATGTGGTGCTACAAGAGAGTAGTTTTTAAAGTGATTTGCATGTGAGTGACTATATCATTAGCTCCCAGTCCTCTATTTTCAGCACCTCCATACTAAAACACCTCACCTGAATGTCCCAAGCAACTCTAAAATCAAAATGTCAGAAATCAAATTTCTATCAATACCTCTCCCAACCCGAAGTCTTCCTCCTGTATTTCTTTGCTGATCAAAAGAAGTCACTATTGTCCTGTCTGCAAGCTACAGTCTTTCTCATGTCCCAAATCATACTAATTACTATTGAGTGTGCCTCAAAATTTGCACCTCATATTTTCCTCAGTTATTTACACCTCCACTGTCTCTTACTTGCTTTTTTACAAACCATCCCCCTCAACCTTCAACCATTCTGTGCTAGTTCTCATCTATTCATTGCCAGGTTGTGGTCCTAAAAGTCAAGTCTGATAACACCTGCTCCATACTATGAACACTTTAGCTGGTATCCTATTTCTCACAGGATAAAGTTCAAATTCATTCCATATTCCATTGACACCAGTTTCTTGAAATTGAGTATATGTTTTCTTTTTTTGTTTTCATCACTTTGTCCATGTTGTCTGTAATTCCTTTCTTTCCTCAATTAATCATTAACTTCTTATAAACATTCAAGACTAAACACACTTTTCACTTTCTCTTTGGAATTTTCACAGTTCTTTCAGGCACATGTTTTTTCTTTCAACATTTTGTGCCTAATATCACCATTAAGGGGAGCATATTGATTTTTTTAAATTATTCATAAGACTAAATTATTCATAAGGCCTTGTCACAGACAAGATTCAAAGGTTTCCTCAATGCCCAGTACCAAGCTTAAATACTATAGCACATAGTAGTCTTCAATGATAAAATTTTTGTTGAATGGGAATATGAGGATATGAATGAATGCACATAAGAAGTGCATTAAGATTGGTTTACCACATTCTTTCTTCTTTGAAAGAGTTGAGATAGTACAGAAAAAAGAATAAAGAAATGAGTAATTAGGATACATTGGTTGGAAAATTATTTTTAATGAACTAACTGAAAGGTGCAGAAAATAATTAGGAAGCTTTGAGGGAAGTTACCCTATAATAAATTATTTGTGAAATAATAAAAGTATCTCCCACTAATATGGACAGTTTCATTTCACTTTTATTCCCCTAAAATTTTTCTGTAAGAACAAAAAAGGAGGCAGTTATTTCTCTTTGGTACTAATCTAAATTCCAGATTCATTTATATAAATTTCAGGTTTTTATGGTGCATATTATGAAGTGGGATACTCTGTAAATGCATATGTACTTGTACTTATGTATCTACTTTAGACACAGTTTGAATTACTTGGAAAAAAGAACATTTCTTTCCTCTGAATTTTATATTTCTCCAGTGCAAATATCTTACTAGATGCAGACTTTACAGCTAAAATATCTGACTTTGGACTTGCACGGGCTTCTGAAAAGTTTGCCCAAACAGTCATGACTAGCAGAATTGTGGGAACAACGGCTTATATGGCTCCTGAAGCTTTGCGAGGAGAAATCACACCCAAATCTGACATCTACAGCTTTGGTGTGGTAAGTCTCATGTATTAATAACAATAGTCATTCTAACTAGGACTGAAATTGAATTAGATGTATTTTGAATATTTCTTTCTTGCTTGACTCTGATATATAAAGCCATGAATTGTTCTCTTTCAACTGTAGTTAAATGAGAAAGTTATAAAATCTCTCAATTTATAAACCTTTTTCATAGTTTTTCAAAATTACTGCAAAAATCCATTTTACTACATTATTCTCATGAATTAATATGATGCTTAAGTCATACATAAAATATACACTTCAGTGTCATATTTTTAAAGGAAATATGCTTTGTAATTTTTTCATCTACCGCTCTATTCCTAGTAATTCTTAAGATGGAATGAGAGGCATGTGGAGAGGCATGGTTGCAGAAATTGAGTACTTCCTTGTTTTAGTTTTTCATGTTTCATATATGGGAATTGAACTTCATAGAACTGTGAAATGAAGGCAAAAGGTTGTAGTAAGGTCTAAAGTTTAGAAAATAATATTCTGCTAAGAACAAGATAAAACTGTTCTTGTGAAGAGCCTCCTGCAAGACAGGAAAAGGACTGGGAGTTTTGTGTTGAGTGGAGCTGACTGTTCAGTAAGTTGCAATAGAAGAAAACTATTTGTGCGAGTGAATGGATCCAAGAGACTGTGAAGGAAGAAGGGTGGTGAGGAGTGACCACAGCTCATGTGCTTTCCACTGTAGTGCCTGAAAGTGTAGTGCCACACATACACAGTGTGTGGAAATGACTAATCAGGTTTCACAGCCAAGAGCCATGCAGGTCTCCCCCCTTATACAAAATTAGAACATTCCTGCGAGCCCCCCTAGTGACCTAGGGGTTGAGTTTCAGCATTGTCACCTATACAGCCTGAGTCTGATCCTGGAACTGGCCCACATGCCACAGCAGACCTCTTCTGTCTTGCCCTCTGTACCCCTTAGCAGTATATTTCATTCGGTCCGCCTGTTGTGCTCCCCACTCTTGTCTCTGGTGAATCCTCTCAATCCCTGCACTTCAGGCCTACACCACAGTTCTTCTATGCAAAAATAAATTTAAAAAAGTATTATAACATTCCTATTTGGTATTATTTGGTAAGTTTTTGGGGAAATAACCTACCTGGGAATGCTTGAAAGTTTTTCCATATAAATTAATGGTAATAAGCATTCCCAGACCCAGGAAATAACCTGCCAAATCATAACAAACAGGAACATTCTGCTCTTGCCCACCAGGAGCACTTGTCTTCCTATGTGTTGTCTTTAGTGTTATGTTAATGGATTTTTTTTTTTTTTTGGTCCTCATAGGTTTTACTAGAAATAATAACTGGACTTCCACCTGTAGATGAAAACCGTGAACCTCAGTTATTGGTAATTGAAAGTTCATTTTTTCATTCCCTTTCTCTTTGCTTTTATAATCTAAGTTTATATGCATAAATTTGGAATCTAGAAAAGCCATTTTCTATTCATTGGCAATTATATGTAGCAAACAAAAAGAACATCAAATATTTCTAATCTAAGGCTGCTGCAATTTTTTGTGAGGCTTAAGAAAGTCGTATATATCCTATGTTCTAGTTTGTGGGAAAAATCAGAAAGAACTCTATGATTTCTGTTTTCTTCTCCACTATGTTTTTATTTGCTACTTTCAGGGTGATTACTAACAGGTTTTTCATTCCAGAAACAAACAACATGGCTTTCCATCAAATTTATATTAGAGTAGAATTGCTAGGAAAATTATCGATCCATTCTTTTATAGAGTATTTTATTTATGAAATTATGTAAAGCTTTACTCAATTTGTAAAGTTAAACATTCACTGACAAGTACATAAATAGACTAACTGAACACTGAAACAATAGGGAAATCATGCCATATCCTTTTTTCATAGATAGTAAAATTTAAGAACTTAGTCTTTTTTTTAATTAGAGATTTACAGAAATATCTACTATCATTTATAGGTTTTCTTAAAATCAAGTAATTACACCAAATTTATATTAATATGTATATTCTAATGGGGCAAAAGAGCGTGGCAAATTCAGACAATACCCGTGCACCAAATTATTTCCCTAGAATGGAGATTAGAAAATCACAAGGGCCTGCCTCATGTTTTTTTTTTTTTTCTTTTCTTTTTTTTTTTAATAGAGGCATGTTTTATTTATTTATTTATTTATTTATTTACTTACTTACTTACTTACTTATACATGCACTGGGTACAGTCAGAAGCGCGGGAGGGTGAGAGAATTCACCAGAGGCAGAGCGGGGAGCAGAGCAGGCAGAAGGACCAAAGTGCATTGCTGAGGGGAGCAGCGGGTGGCAGGAGAGGTCTGCGCACCATGTGGGACCCTCCTCCGGTGGCTGGGGAGCAGCTGGGGATCGAACCAGCACCTCAGAGGCTGTGGGCAGCTTCGTAACCCAGCGCTCAACCGCTGCGCCACTGGGGAGGCCCATGCCTCATGCTTTTTTTTGAGAAGAGCAAAAAATATAATATTATGAGTGTCTCTTATAAAAAATGTACATTTTAAAAATTTCTGTGGTATACTGAAATGTAATAATGAAATATTACATGCTATATAATATTTCATATTAATATAATATTTCACATTAATATATAATATTTCACATTAATATATTACATACTATTAATATTTCACATAATATATATACTTACAGAACATAATATTATTATTTAAGGTTATTATTAAATTTTGGACTTTTTACACTCATACATAAAAAATCAAGTTTTGTCCTCATCAAAGAAATAAAATTTTCTGTCTCAGTGGTTGTTAGAGGTCAGGGAAGAAGATGCAGTTTTTGAGTCATTAGTATACAGGCATAGATAAAACTTTGGGGTGGATTGGATTATACAGAGAAAGCACGAATTAAAAATACAGGAGAGCAAAAAAGCATGGAGGCTAAAGATGAAATCCAGTGTTTTACTAACTTGCAACTTAACATTTTTTAAGAAAGTCTTACTTGTCTAATTTTCTGTCCTCTTGCCTGAGATTCTTTTTCCCTTCAGAAGATTATGAAAGCCACAAAACTATAACTCAACTAAGGATGAAATACAGAAAAACAAAAAATCCATCTTAGTCACAAGTACTGTGCATCATCATGTAACAGTGAAAATCATAAAACTTATTAAGGGAAGATTCTATTCTTGCACTTAATTTTTAAGATTCAAATGTGTTGTGACTATAAATTAATAAGATTTTAATATAAGTGCAGCTTTTAAAAGTGATTCTTTTAAATACCTTTGCATCACTAGATTCTGCCATTGCACTTTCTAAATTCATCCTTGAAAACTGGAGTGCTTCTAACCAACCTCACATAGTCTTTTCCATCTGTATTAGTTTCCTAGGACTGCTGTAAAAAATTTCCCATAACCTGGGACTTAAAACAACTGAAATTTATTCTCTGCTATTTCTGGGAGCCAGAAGTCTGAAATCAAGGTGTTACAGGGTCACATTACCTCTGGGTATGGCTGTCAGGGATAATGTCCCTTGTCTTCCAGCTTCCGGTGGCTGCACCATTCCTTGATTTGTGATCACGTGAGGCCAGTCTCCACTCCTTGGCCATACTGTCTTTTCCTCTAGTCTGTTTTCTTCTCTTTCTGTCTCATACCCACACTTGTCCTTGGGTTTAGAGCCCACCTGGGTAATCCAGGATTCTCTCATCTGAAAATAATTTCCATCATTACATTTGCAAAGAAATTCTTCTCCAAATAAGATCATATCTACAGGTTCTGGAAATTAGGACATGGATGTATCATGTGGGGGTCCACCCACTCTAACAACCTGCTTCTGTACCTCTCTCCTTATTCACTACTTTTTCATCCTGGCCCTCTCCAGTGTGTTGCCCTCCATCTTTTTCTTTCAACAATTTGAGTGCCCCTAAAGAATTTTGCCTGTGCAGGAAGGCAGAATCTGGGTCCAGAAGTTACAATTGCATTATCAGAAGCACATCAAGAAACAGACCTGTGCTGGCAGCATAGGGGAGACTACTCATTGGGGCAGGACAGCTACAAGCTCAGTCACACAAATACAAAAATTAAAAGGCAAATGGCTGATGGTATCTAGAAGGTCAGTATGCATGTATGTTTGTGTGTGTTTATAAGTAACAGACTTTCTTGGCTGTCTTCAATTCTTAATAATATTATCAAAGTAGGTAACAGTACATGTTATCATAAAGTAGGTTAAACCATTAAAATTTATACTCTTTCCCTTCCATTTGAAATTCAAAGTGTTAACATTCATTTTAAAGCTGGATATTAAAGAAGAAATTGAAGACGAAGAAAAAACTATTGATGATTATGTTGATAAGAAGATGAATGACATTGATTCCATGTCCATTGAAAATATGTACGCTGTTGCTACTCAGTGTCTGCATGAAAAAAAAAATAAGAGACCAGATATTAAGAAGGTATTAATTTTTACAATTATTTAGAAAGTAAGGATGTGGGGTTCATCATTTTTTCCCCTAAGTGCACATTGCAAACCTATTATTTAATGTAGTTCTTTTGTTTTTTATTTTGTTTTCTCTCTCTCTCTCCATTTTTTTTTTTAAATAAAAGGTTCAACAGCAACTGCAAGAAATGACAGCATCTTAACACTTGGCCTTTAAAGTTCTTGGCTTCCCATATACAGCTCTCCAAGACATTTTTTCATTAAATTTTTTGTAAACTTTCTTCTTGTCTTTGCCAAGGAATCATGTACAGCAGCAATTGTTAAAGCTTACATGGCACCTCCAGCATATAGAGCAAACAAAAGCAGAGCTACTGTGTTGCTGCTTAGCCCTACCTTCCCACTGCCACTCCAGATCTTAGAGCTGTCTTTAAGACATCTCCTCGGAACCGCACCGAACAGTTTGTGAACTACAGGATTAGCAAAAAAAAGTGCTGAACCACAGATTCAAAGGACCCACAACTGAGACCCGACTTGACTACTAATGGCTGTAAAACTTTGGATAATTTCCAGCGTCTTTGAATCGTGGTTTTTTACTCTTGTGACTTTGACTAATATCTGCTGTGCCTCTCTGACAGATAGTCATGAAAATAAAATGATGTAAAATATATACCAGCATTTTGTAACTTGTAAAGGTGATATAAAATTTAAAGGTCATATAGATGATTATAAAATCCTATTGCCATCATGTCTGTGGTGTCATCTTCACAGTGTGCTATATTTTAAACGATCATTCACCACAAGCCCAATATGCCCTGATGGTCTGTTGTTTTAGATGCTGTTCTGTGGCAAAGTTGAAGGAATTTTGCAGATGCAGTTAAGGTTCCAAATCAGCTGACTTAAAGTATCCGCAGGGCGTGGTAGATAGGCCTGCCCTAGTAAGGTGAACTCTCACAAGAAATAAAGTCTGTTGGCCTTGAGAAAGTAAATTATTGTGTTGAAAAGAGTCACATTGGCTGAGACATAGGGTGGCCTTAGAGATGAGAGCTACCTTCCAGTTATCAGCCAGGAAAACACAACCATACTGTATATGGGTTTCTGTTGAGATGAATTGACTAAATCATTTTATTTTTCTTTTCAACTAGCAAATGTTTCTGCTTACTTAGTTTATAAAGGTAATTTGAAAGGAGTGCTATCTTTCCCCCAAGAAAGCATTTAGGAATGTCTAAATAATTATAGAGGATAATCATCTTCTGCTATAGTCAGTATCATCAACTCACATAATTACCTTTTTTTTTTTGATATGGTAAGGATATTTAAGATCTACTCCCCTAGCAAGTTCAAACATTATAGAATGCAATGCTATCAAATAGGTTGTCATGTTATGTATTACATTACATGTACTTGTCTAATACCTGTGTTTGTACCTTTAAACAGTTTCGTCCCATACTCTATAAGGTATGTATTATTCAATTACAGAAGTGGACACACACAAGAATGACTTTTAAGTCATTCAAATTCTAAAGTAATAAGTAGGGAAGCAAAAGCAATGAATTTTCAAAATGAATGCAAAATTGTATACCTCAAAGAAATGGAGGGGGGGGAATCACCTTATGAAATACTCTCACCTAAAGCAACAACTATTAAATGAGTTCAACAAATATTCCTTGGTTGTTTTCTATGGTCCAAGTGCCTGCCTATGTTCCAGGCATTTATAAAAGCAATGGGCAGATAAAAATGAACAGTATATAGATTATAATTTGACTAAAGAGCAGAGGGCGATCAAGATCAAGTATCTGCAAGTCATTTGGAAGTACAAGTATTTAGATCGTATGGTGCATATCCAGGCACATGCATGGATGAAACCATTGAGTAGTATGTGATGGTCACAGATATGGGACTATGGCGCTCCTCGAAACAGTGGAAGTAGAAACCCAAGGAGATGACTCAGAATCTCTTCTGTTTCATTTTCTGCATGAATGGCTTTATAAGTTTAGTGCTGATGAATTCTCATACCCCAGAAAGTGAAAGTACTTAATATTAATCAAAGAAACTTCAAGTGATGGTCACTTGGGTGGGAAGAAGAATTCTCACTGTCTAAGCACCCTCAGCGTGCTGAAGTCAAGGCAATATTCAGCAATGCAGATCTACCATGAAGAAAAGTCAGAGGTTTTTGTGATCATTGACATTTAAGATACCAGGAAAAAAGACTCCTATGAAGAACTGCTTTTTCTCTTCCTTTTGAGAAGATACTAGAATATACATCCTACATTATCTGTTGGTATGTGGGAATTTGCAGCGCACAAATTATTAAACTTTGACTTTCAGAAAAGGAAAACCAGGATACAACCTTGACATACCTTACCCAAAAATTCAAACTTCAAAGAATTCTTCAAGTGGCAAATATGGTCCTTCATTTATTCATTCCCTGTTACAGCAGCAGACACCTCACACCTGTCCAAAGTGATGCAAACCCTTTAGCCTGGTCCCAAAAGGGACCACTGATGTAAGCAGCAGCCTGGAGCACCAAAGTCTCCAATCTCTTTCCGAATCCAGTTTGAAAAAAGAATAATTTGAGAATACTTACACTCAAGATTTTACCTTTCTTTCAAATTGGTTCAGACATTTTTTCCAAATGTGCATTAAGGGAAGTTGTGCTTTAGATTGTGTGAAACAGACATCACCATCCTGTATTCTAGTTGGTTTTCTTAGAAATAGTTCTAGCTGAATTTTTGTAAGACTTCTCTAGAAAGAACACTGAATTTCTCCTGCTCTCATTTTTAAACACTGATGTATTGACAGTTTCTCAATATAAAAGAAGACCCTAAACTCCCACCTCTGGCTGACCAGGGACCTCTCTTCAAGCAAGAAGTTAAGACTAAGACAGAATCCAGACTGCCTAGTTGAGTGTGGAAAGTATCTTGACATGCATAGGCTGTCCCTGGCAAAGACTGGGACATTTACTGCCTAAAGACATTTTTAAAACTCCTGTCTACTTAGTAGCTGATGACTAAGTTGAGCAGAGGCTTCAGTGTCCTCTAAATCTAAAGAATATAGATTTTACAGAATTCATTCATTAAACTCATGAAATAAATAACAACTAAGACAATTAGCAACAACAACAAATCTATTGAGAGGGTAATGTCTGATTTCCAGAGTCACCAGGTTATTTTATTTAAAGTGCAAAATATTCAACAAAAATATACTAGGACATATATGCAACAAGATACTAAAACAACAAAGTATGATCCATATCCAGTGGGAATAAAAGAGTCAATAGAAACTATACTAAGAAACAGACTGGCCTAAGAGATATTTATAGAGCCTCCCATCCCAAAAGAAATGAATACACATTCTTCTCAACAGCACATCAGACATTCTCAAGGATCAATCATGCTGGGACACAAAGCACATCTCAAAAATATATGAAAATAAGGCCTCCCTTGTAGCGCAAGTTGTTAAGACACAGCCTATGAAGCTGTTTGCAGCCACTGCAGCACGAGTTTGATCCTTGGCCAGGGAGCTACCCACATGGCGCAGCAGACCTCTCCTGACTCACCTGCTGCTCCCCTCAGCACTGTACTTCAGTCTATCTGCCTGTTTTGCTCCCTGCTCTGTCTCTGGTGAATCCTCTCACCCCCCACACCTCTAACCTGTACCCCAGTTCTTGTATGCATAAATAAATCTAAATATATATATGAAAATAAAAATTATGTCAAACAGCTTTTTTGACCACAATGGTAAAAAGCTGGAAAGCAACCACAAAAAAGAAATCTAGAAAATAGCTAAATGTGTGGAGACTAAGCAAAATGCATTTAAATAACTCTTGGGTTGATGAAGAAATCAAAGGAGAAATAAAAAATCTGGAGACTAATGAAAATGAAGAGACAAGCTACCAGTTCCTATGGGATGCAGCAAAAATGATAGAGGAAAATACAGAGCATTACAGGAACATATAACTGAACAAGAAATATCTCAAGTAAACTAACTGTACACCTGAAGGAACTAGAAAAGTAAAAACGAGTGAAACCAAAAATCAATAGAAAGAAATTATTAAAATTGGAGTGGAAATAAGCAAATAGAAATCAGATAGATGATACAAAAGATGAACAAAACCAAGAACTTTTCTCACAATAACAGTGAAACACCCGCCCCAGGAAAGAGAGAAACCCCAAATAAAAAAGAATTGGAGGGCCTCCCCGGTGGTGCAGCAGTTGAGCGCTGGGTTGCAAAGCTGCCCGCGGCCTCTGCAGCACCCATTCGATCCCCGGCCACCGGGTGAGGGTCCCACATGGCGCGCAGACCTCACCTGCCGCCCGCTGCTCCCCTCAGCAGTGTGTTTCATCAGTCTGTCTGTTCTGCTCCCCGCTCTGGCCCTGGTGAATTCTCTCACCCTCCCGTGCTTCTGACTGTACCCAGTGCATGTATAAACAAACAAACAAACAAATAAAGAAAGAAAAACATGCCTCTATAAAAAAAAAAAAAGAATTGGAAATGAAAGAGGTGAAATCACAACAAAACAGCATAAGTAAAAAGGATCATAAGACACCTACTAGGAATGTCTATATGCAAAGAAGTTACACAACCTAGAAGAAATGGACAAATTTTTGGAATCATAAGAACGTTTCAAGGGCCTCCCCTGGTGGCACAGGTGGTTGAGCATCGCACTGTGAAGCTGTCTGCAGCCTCTGCAGAGCCAGTTCGATCCCAGCCAGCGGGAGAGGGTCCCACATGGCGCCACAGACCTCTCCTGTCGAGCCCGCTGCTCCCCTCAGCAGTGTATTTGGTCAGTCTGCCTGTTCTGTTCCCCACTCTGTCTCTGGTGAATCCTCTCACCCTCCTGCGCATCTGGCCTTTACCCTGGTTCTTGTATAAATAAATAAATAAATTTTAAAAAAAGAACCTTCCAAGACTGAATCAGGATGAAGTAGACCACTTGAACAGACTACCCATAAGCAAAGAAATTGAAAGATTAATCAAAAGTTTTTCTAGGAACAAAAACCTAGGACCAGATGGTTTCACTCTACCAAACCATCAGAGGATTTAATACCTGTCATTCTCAAGCTCTTCAAAAAAAATTTTTGAAGAAGAGGGAAAGTTCCCAAACACATTTTATTAAAAAGGAGGAGCAGGGCAGGAAACTACAAGGTAATGTTTCCAATGAACTCTATGCAAAAATCCTCAATTACATCTGGGCCAAATGAATCCAGCAATATATTAAAAGAATCATCCATCATGATAAGTGGGATTCAGTCAGGGATGCAAGATTGGCTCAACATATATACATAAATCAATGTCATTCACCACATTAAAAAATCACGATTATTTCAACAGATGCTGAAAAGCATTTGACAAGATTCCACACCCATTTATGATTTAAAAAAACTCTCAATAAAATGACAATTAAAGGAACATCTCAACATAGTAAGTCATATATGAGAAATCCACAGCCAACATCATGCTCAATGTTGAAAAACTGAAAACATTTCTCGTAAGGACAGAAACAAGGTAAGACTGTCTTTGTCCTAGCCAAAGTAATTTGGAAAGAAACAGCCATAAAAGGAATCCAAATTGGGACAAAAGAATTGATGTTATCACTATTTGAAGATGACTTGATAATATACACAGAAAATCCAAAGGCTCTACAAAAAAAGCTACTAGAAATTATAAATGAATACAGTAAAGGAGCAGGATATACAACAATACACAGAAGGCTGTTTGGTGTCTATATTCACACAAAGAATTAGAAGAAAGATAAGAAAACTCTCATTTATAATTTCACCAAAAATGATGCAATACCTGGGAGTAAACTTAACAATGGAGACGAAGCATCTGAAATCTACGAGACACTGTAAAAAGGAATTAAGTAAACACAAAGAAATGGAGAGGGGAATTTTGCAAATATGACATACCTATGTATCCACCCTTCATTATGCTTGGAATGCCCCTATTTGGTTGCCTAGCAGACTCCTATCATTTCTTTAAGAGCCATTCCACAAAGTATTTTCTGATTCTCTAGATAGAAATAGGTACATTTGTGTTCCCGTAGTACTACAATAAATAATAATGATGTTAATGTATAAGCTTGTAATTTTAAGTCACATGTTACACCTTTTGTTAAACATTTATGAGCACTAGTCAAAGTGTTCTCCATTTATTTAATCCTCATAATCCTATGATTAGTTGGTAACATTATTTATCTACATTTTACAAATGAGGAAACTGAAGGGAAGTATCTTCCAAAGATCACGCAGCTAATAAAACAGAATTGGGACTTTGAACTCAGACATCTGGCATCAGTTTGAATGTTTACCACTATACTCACTTGCGCCATCATATTAATTCTCTCTCTCTTTTTTGCATAGAAGAACTGAGGTGCGGGCTAGAGGTGTGTGTAGGGAGGTGAGAGGATTCCCCAGAAACAGAGTGGGGAGCAGAACAGGTGGTTTGACTGAGATCCATTGCTAAGGGGAGCAGCGGGCGAGACAGGAGAGGTCTGCTGTGTACTATGTGAGTCAGCTCCCTGGCTGGGAATCAAGCTCAGGCCTTTGAGGTGATGATAGGGCTAAGATTTAACCCCTATGCCATCAGGGAGGACCAATCGTTTTAAACAACTGCTTTAAACCACTACATTTTGGGGTAGTTGGTGATGTTACCAGTGTCACAACACGTAACTCATTTATAGTTTATAATCTATAAGTGACAGCCTTGCATACACATACATATGCACACTTAGAAATATAACCCATGTTGTCTTATCCATACAGCTTGGTAATAGAAGACCTAGAAATAAAATTTAACCCCCATTCATGGTTTGTTTCTTTCCATTAAGCATCCAGAGTTCAGTAAGAAATTACAACATGGCTGAATCCTAGCAAGTGCCGATGGTGATGGAGCAGCACGGGCAGTTGAGTAGACTGGTCTTCATCTCTCACAGTGGATAGTCCACTGAATGAGGATCGCCACCAAAATTATTTCTATTCAGGACTGGATCTGCTGTGTCTTATGTCACGGAAACCATTTTTCACAGGGTGAAGGGCTCTATCAGTGCCTGTGAGGTTTGCTTTGGCCAGAAACATAGGCCTCTGTATTCACCTACCTCTGCTAAGAGTGCTCCTTTCCACTCTGACCTAGCCACTGTTCTAGCTCTGAGCTTGTATTTTAGTAGAGGAGACAAATGTTATGCGCATAAATAATTCCTCAGTGTTATGAGGAAAAGTAAAACAGGATTCATGAGAGACCCAGAAGTACAATCAGATTGGGTTCCTGCCTTGTGAGGAAGCAGGACATGTAGATAATGGATTAGTGACCCAGTGTCAGGGACAGAACAGTGTTCCTCAGGCAGTGAATGCACTTGACCCCTCCCTTACAGCTGGCAGGTTAGGACAGATTAGGAACTGGAGGGGACTGGTGAAGGCAGGTGAAAGGCCTGGGTCAAGTCATGCAAAACTAGTGACTAAATGGAGGGCCAGATTTTTTTTATGTTACCATTAAGTACCAGTACTAGCAACACGTGTGGTTTGTTGAACAAATGGCGTTGGTGGGGTGGGGTTTGGGGACTCACAATTATTAGTATTCAAGGCAAATTATACCTGCCACGGCACATAATATATAGTATGTGAGTTATTTGTGGAACTAAAGGATTCTGGGCCCACATACTGTATCAAAATCCCTGAATATGAAGCCCATGTATCTTTAAAAGAAAACAAACCTCCCATTCTTGTAGTTGGCTGTAGAGCAAAGAGGACCTGTGGAAGGATACAGAACAAATCACAAGTACCCGAAGCACATTATTACATTTCTCAGTAGAAATTCCTTGAGAACTTAACTTTTTTAAATACTATCTTTTATTTTATATATTTTTTACATCATTTTTCATTTTTGCACTATGTATGCATTTTCATCTTGGTTATGTTGCCCATACAATTCCCACACCCCCCCTATTTTGACCCTACTCCCTCCTCCCCTCCCTCATACTGTGTCTTTGGTTTATAGTTGCTTGTTGATTTGGTTTTTACTTTATTATTATAATTAGCCTTTTTCCTGGCCCCTTATTTAGATTTTCTAAATTCATGCTATGAGTGAGACCATCCGGTATTTTTCTTTTTCTTTTTGGCTTATTTAAATACTATTTTTAGTATCAGCTCTTCTAAGAATTTCCCCATCATTTGGGAAACTGCTGTCAAAGACAATGTTTGTAACAAATCTCTAATAAAAAGGGCCAGTTCGATACTGAATGGCACACAGGAGAGCATTCCATATTTGTGGGATGAGTGAGTAGCAAGTCTCTCAAGACTTTCATGTCAAGTTGGTTGCCCTACATTAAATTGGGGTGTTTCTCTCATGGTAGAACTATAAAACTCATGGTATTTTCATTCTTCTTACAGCAGTGGAAAAGTTCTCATCTAAATTAAGGTTTCCCAGATTTTAAGTTACAGTTAAAATTCTTTTAGATTTGGCCAGGCAAATTAATAAATGGATGAATGGATTTCTAATTTACCATCAATTACTGCATTATGAAGAATTATCCAAACATTTTTTTAAAAGATTATACTAGAAAATACATTTAGTACACAATTTAAAGAGAAAAGATTTTTATTGCAATATAAAATGCACTTATAAAATGTCCACAGAAGGCATGTACTTCTTCACCGCTATATAAATTTATTGGGAATATTTTATTCACCCCCTGTTGTTATGATGATGCCATCTAAAACATACTGTAAACGATGAGTTATACTCTATATAACAAATGCATCACTGATTTTCAGCAATCATTGGTTTAATAATAATTAAGACTATATAATCACATCTATATTCTGGAATGTCCATTGACTTTCATGTAGTGTAGTAGAATTTAGAGTATAATTGCACATGAATGGTACATAAAAACATTCACTACTAAATTATTTTATACCTTCAAGATGGGTTAACAGTCTTCCTGGCTGAATAACAGCTTCCACTCTGTTCTACAGCACAGTTCTGGGACTTGCAATGCAGTGATTTGTGTGTGTGTCTGTGTGTGTGTGCACCCATGGGACAACGTAAAGTCTACCTTTAGTAAACAAGTGCAACATTACTGTTGATTGTTTTGCATGTTTCAATATTATAGTCTGATTATTTGTAAACAAAACTCCACACAAATACTTATAATTGTAGGGGGAAAAAAATCCATTATTCTGATATGCTTTGCTTGACATACAATGGATTTCTAAAAGGTGCATATACTTCCTTAGATAATAAAGTATAAAAATGAGTGTTTCATACTTTATACTATGAAATGTCCATTTCTATGATCTGTTTTATGCAGCATAAAGTTTAGGTGAAGAAATTCTGAATCATGGATCTCCACAGTTCATTTAGAAAATTCCTTAAAGTTATGGCTCCTGCAGCAGGTTAAAATATGAAGTGTTCTATTTCCCTCTATTTCAAGTATCAACCAAAAATGAGGCTCAAAATCTCTCTAGATTGTAACTGAAAATGCAAAGCTTTAGAAAACAGATGTTTTAAGATACAGTATAAACTGAAACAAGCTTCTGAAGTGTTCATTTGTGTTAGGGTGGTAAGTACCAAAGGCTGTTAAAAACAACTATTAAATCTGAATATATGCTCAAAAGTGATATGGAACACAATTTGCCTTTATATATATGGGTTGGGAAAGAAGTAGCATGTTGAAAACCTGTCAACACTGTTGACTTTAGTGGTGTTGCTGGGTATTAATTTAACATTCAACCCATACATAAATATTTGGCCTTATAATACTTATAATGAAATGACTTACTTTTAAAATGGAAATTTTTAAAGCACTAAAACAGAATTTACCAACGCTGTTTCAACATTCTTTCAATGTCATCAGAAATCCTGCATTATAGAAAATATCTGGTATCCTTGAAGGTTTCAAAGTGAGCTAATCTTCTGAAATTTTAATGCCATTTAAAAAAACAAAAAGTCTAATAGAAAAGACTGCTGCATTAAAGCACTGTTCCTAAAAGCTGCAGACATGATCCCTCTATCTGAGAGTTAGCACTATTCTCAAAGTAAGCAACTTTCCACCTTTTTGTAGGCACACTAAGCTTCCAGCTTAGAAAATAATATAACCTGGCCCTTAACATAATCATTATGTGTATGAGTATTTTAGTCATTGTCTTTTCCTTAATGAAAAAATCTGATGTTTCACCAAAGAGTGTCTCTTACTTTGAGACATTAGACTTTCTGTAATTGGCCCAACTGTACAAAATTTCAGAATTATGTGAAAGTGTGAAATTATCACTCTATGAAAACAGTGTGACAAAACTAAACATTACTATGTCAAACCTTTTTTGCTTTAACTCAAAAATAGAAACCATGAGTTTCCTTATAACATTAATTTTAAAAACACACAGAAGTGAAAAGTGCTAATTTTCAAAAAGTACGTTTTCCCCTACTATATATCAATATGGAATGATTTCAGTTATCCTGTACTAAAAGCTGGAGTTTTATAAAACTAGTATTGTAATACTTAATAACAGTGATTTTAATCAGTAGTGGCTTCAGTTTCAGCTGGACCCCTGATTAGTCTTCTAATTCCTCTTTTTCCTGCAGGACCTTTGGGTTTTGCAAAACTTTGCTTATGTGCATGCTGCTTGGGGTGTACTTCTTCATAAAGGAAGTCTGCAGTCAGCTCATCCCCGTTGTCTATCTCTATCTGCAAGAGATGAAATTAGTATGTACAATGCAGTATGACAACACACAACATTCAAAACCTAATAAAAGCAACAATCCAATTGTCAGGTATGAATACTCACAAACAGATACATAATATCCATTCCAGCAAGAGTGAATCAGGACCACACACAGATAGTTTTCATTTTTTATTTTTGGTGGAGAGAGGAGGGATGAAAGGGATGCTAAAGAAGTTGCCTGAATATAAAATTCTTTCTACTTGTTTCCATTTGGTCCTTTCTTTTCCAACTTAATGTCCAAAAGTGGAATCCGCTATTGTATTTTCAAGTTGTTTTATTTTGCTATGTTCATATATATTCATAGCCCCTTCATCTGGGTCACTTGAAATTATTCTAGAACAGGGCTTGGCAAACAATGGCTTGAAGGCCAAATCCAGTCCCAAGTTAAGACCATGATTTACATTTTTAAAGAGCTGTATAAAAGAAATGATAAAACAAAGAATGTGTGACAAAGACCATATGCGGCCTGGCAAAGCCTAAAATATTTACTCTCTGGGTCCTCTTATTGAAAAAGTTAATCAGCCCCTGCTATTAAAGGTGATTCCTAAGAACCACCTTCTTAAAAAAGTGTTTCCCCTAAAGGGAATAAAACACTGGTAGTTTGTAAGGACCTGTGTTTTAAGAGTCAACAGGTTTAAGAATAAATCTCTTTCCCTATACCTCATCTGTATTTAGCAAAATAAATTCAGAGAACTGGTAGCTTTGTAGTTCCCAAAATCTATGACCATTCCCTCCTTCGCCAACAGCTGGAAAGCTCATCAATCATCCATGATTCACAGCTGTAAGTGGAGACGACCGTTCCTTATTAAGAGTCTTGAGGTAATCACAAGTAGGTAGGTCTGGCACGAGTGACCAACAAAACGCTCTGCAGTATGGAAACAGTACCTAAGCTCTGCACTGCCCAGTAGAGTGGCCAAAAGCCACTGACTAATGTACACTTGACATGTGGCTGGTGTGATTAAAAAATGGAATTTTATATTTACTTGTTTAATTTATATTTAAACAGTCACATGTAGTTTATGGTTATCACCATATTAGAGAGAACATTTCTATAAAGTGGGTCACAACAGGTAATCTTCAAGCACCTGAGAGGAAAAGATCCTAAGGCTTTATGATGAGAATAAAAAATTTCATCACAACACATCATAAACTATGTGGAAAAGACATTAAAATTATAACAAAAACTGAAAAGTAAAAAGCTAGATATTAGATAAATAAGACAAACTAAATAAGTAGGTAATTACCTTTCTAATCACATCCATTTGGAGCTGTCTTTCTACAATTTCCAGCAGAGGGCTTTTGCAGCTAGAATAGAGCATCCGTTCTCTTATACTGCAGGTGTAGCCAGGCATTGAATAGATAAAAACTGTAAGATAATAATGAATACATGGCACATCAATTAAAGCAACTACTAAACCTCATAAACTACAACTAAATCATGCAGGCAAGAAATAAGACTATATTAATAAGCAAAGTGAAAATATGTTAAATACAAATATACAATGTATCATATTACCTATGGATTCCAAATAGTCTCCTTCATGGGAATGTTTATACACAAAGAAATGGTAACGTGCTGAATCCTTGGGAATCCTCTTTGGCAAATCTTTTAGTTCAGTATTTGTTGTGTTGGCCAAAATTATAATTTCATTTTTTATATCTATTTCCTGTTAATAAGAAGTAAAATAAATGCATTAAAACACATACATAAAAATTAAAAATTTGATAGTGAAAAACCAGGATGACAAGGATAAACATACCAGCTTGAACAAAGAACATATATTGCTTTTGGAAAATCAAAAAACAAATGAATAGGAGAATTGTAAGGTCTATGTATGAGGGGCGAAATCAATTATTGTACAAATTAAACAATGATGTGAGAAAATTGAAAAATAAGTAAATAAATAAAATAAAGAAATAAAAATTAGGAAATGAGTAACCAGGAACTAAATTTTTTAATCTATCAAAAAAAAAAAAAAAAAAAACTTCTATAAGCCAAAAGCCACTAGAGTGCAGACATTTCACAAAATGTTACCAATTATGTCTCTTACCAATTGCACATAATTGAGCTGTCTGTTATTCAATTTTTCCAAAGCTTGAAAAGCTTCTCGAGAAATAGGAAACGCTACTCCTTGTAGTGTTTGATGCTTAGTGTCCACACTCACGTCTGTCTGCACCTAAGTGTGACAGATTGAATTAACCAATGAAGTTACTGAATTCGTGTCATATGGCAAAAAAGACCCAACTTCCGTCAAGTATCATTCCATCCTTGCCCATTTTAATATAATTCACACTTTTAAACCATTATGAACTTAAAAAGCGAAAACTTTTTCACATTTGTTCATGTCCTGTTAGCACTTTTTACATGCAGATTGTATGATACGTCTTTATGGAAATGTTGGAAGTGAACATAAGAGTGTGTAACGTTAGTGGTGCTCTAGGGGTCCTGTTGGCTTCTAAGTTTGGTTTGGCACAACTACAATGAGTTACTCAAGTTCTTTGAAATGTCTTCTGATTACACCTTTAATTACAAATTTTTAATTGACAAAGTTTATGAACAGGGTAATATACAAACGATATGTATATAACTTTGTTCTGTTAGACACAGAATGTAACACACACACCATGCACTGAACTGAAAGGAGACAAACAATTTACAAAGACATGACACAGCTGAACAAGTTCTACTACTGCAGGAGTTCTAAACTGAGAGCTTTCTTTACTAAGAACACGGGTATGCGCGTATTACAAGAAGAGAAGAGTATTTCAAGAAAGCTTTCAATGCACATGTTTAAGACTCTTATACTTGGTAAATGATAGCTAGTATAGGGTTTCATTGGCAGTGCTGCAACAGAAAATCAAATAGAAATTTTACTTAAAAAAAAAAATGAATGGAGATTCTACAGCAAAAATGATATTGGATAATGAAAACATCATAGAACATATGCAGATGCATACCCCAATACGATCCTCTGGGTTCTGATTGCAAGGAATAAAACAAACTATCAAACTTGTTAAAAAAAAAAATCACATATAACCCCCTACTCAAACAACCTGAATTAAAATAATAGAAAGGTAGACCCTTGCTATCAGGTTAATATTAAATAATATTCAATCACTTTGCAGACTGATTTCTATTAGTTCCTCAGATTAGTGATTATTGGTTTCTGCTCTTGTCCTTTTCCATAAAATCCCAGTAGAATTACAGTGGTTATTATTATGATTTGTAAATGGAACAGCTGCAGGAATCACATTAAAAATAACAAATTATAATATGTATGAAATTTATTGACTCTAAAATGCTAAACAAGTACTCATATAGCAATCCCCATATATATACATACATACATATACATATATATATATGCACATACCCAGCTAAGTAGTGTAATCACAGAAGTTAACACACAGAGCTTTTAGGAATCTTAAATGTTGTATAGCATTTATAGTTTATTCTTTTTAGTAATCACTATTCTCTGAAATCACAACAAAACAAACCTGCTTCAGGCAACCTCATTAGACACAATATTCTTTGCACTAAATGGTAACACACTTTTCCCATTTGTTTATTTAAAGTACAAAATTTAAAAAGTTATACTTCCAAAAGGAAGATTTATAACTCTTTCACGTATATTATAAAGGCAGGAGACAGTCATTTATAAAACTGACATAAAGTTTAATATTTATCTTTACCTTTTTTCCCTGAAAACACTTAAAGCAAATAACCTTGTCTCTGAAGTAAACAGAATAAATGTAAGCCACCTAACCAACATATACCCTAGTACGTCCACACCTAGTAATTTAAAAAAATATTTTCAAACACATAAAATCTTGCAAGAGTTTCAAAATTGTTATTTACCTCATTAATTTTAATCTGTCGTAATTCCTCCTCAGCTGCAGTCAGTGGGGCAGGGGAAGACTGTGACAGCAAATATTTTTTATATCCATGTAATGAAACATCTTCCTGTAAGCGCAGACATAGACTGTTATCAGTTATTCAATGGAAGTAAAACCCCAGTAACATTACTTTAGGAATAACAAAATTATCAATTCAACAGAAAATATTTTAATTCTTACATTTTTTAAAATCCTCAAACTTTAATAAGGGTTTTGGAAAATTTGAAGGGGAATCTCCACTCTTCATTTCCGGAAGTTCTATAATTATTACATCTTTTATGAGTATGGTGGTAGTGGTACCATACCACATACAATAATGAGTCTGATAGTATTTCAAGTCTACAGGGACAATTACAATTAACCTTACTGGAGAAAAGCACGCCCTATAATTATCCAACAATCAACATATTCTTATATGAATTCTAAATTATAATGACTTATATAATTTCTCCAGAATGAGTCACAAAAAATATTATAGTTTTTAAATAAAAAACATTCCAAAGAAGCTACTTTTCATTAAAATTTTGTGGTTTGGAAGACAAAATTAAGACACTAGATGATCTCACAAATAGTAGTGAAAAAGCAAAATGCTCCCATCTAATTTTTTTATCCACTAGATTACCTTCTGCATCAGAAAAGCTCTAAACAATAAAACCTGTTCAATAAAAAATTAAGTTCTCTTAATTTTTATGTATGTGTATCTATCATAAAACTGTTATTTTACAAAGTACATTCTTAATCATAATTTAACTGATTTCTAAATTTATCAATTATCAACCAATTTACCTACTTCATTGTGTTGATTTAAAGAAAATAGTAACTACTTCTATGACATGGTATGAAAATGCAAAATGCCTAAAAATTACTCCTTTGAACAGTTTCTCCTGTGTCTCAGTCTAAAATGAAAAGATGAACTATCTTGATACATTAAATGACCTCTGAGTTACACTCTAGTTATTAAAGATTGAGCTAACCAAGAGACTCCAACATATTCTAAAAAGTAAGTATGTTTCAATGATACTGATTCCTAATGTCAAATACGTAGGAAAAAACGAATGGATTCAAAGTTACATATTCAGGTAATGGTTAATTTAACAATTATGTATATCATGATTATGTATATCATATGAAATATAATATTTTCTCTCTTATTCTTATGTTTTAGATTGTTATCAACTGCCCATTATCTAGGAATTCTTTAACCATTTTAGTTGCAACATATTTCTGTAAAAATAAAAGCTAAAAATAAAAATTTTGTACCTTTATTGTGCCAAACACTTCATCTTTAATGTGGCCACCTCCAAACTCTTTTTTCAAAGTTGCTCTTGTTGCTGCATACAACATTTTTTGACGAACCTATTATTAAGTGGGAAATGTTTCCTTAGAAGTTTATAAGTTGAAAATTATCATTGCAAAAGAATGTACTTTTTGAATCTATTAATATCTTCAAGCATATTAAAAATAAAATCAACTATGATAAAACTACAGTCCATTGGCTATAATGTGCTCAAGTACGTGATTACAAAAACCAGCGTAAACACGACCATCTAAAATACTGATGGCAATTAAGGGAGATTTCAATTTGAAAGTCAAATCTTTCAAAAAGTGGGGGAAAAAAATCTAAATTAAAAATGATGTCTCGGGGGCCTCCCTGGTAGTACAAGGGTTTTAAGCACAGCACTGTGAAGCTATCTGAAGCCTCTGCAGCACGAGTTCAATCCCCCGCCAGCCAGGGAGCTACCCACATGGTGCAGCAAACCTCTCCTGTCTCTCTCGCTGCCCTCCTCAGCAGTGTACTTCAGAAAGTCTGCCTGTTCTGTTCCCCATTCTGTCTCTGGTGAATGCTCTCAGCCCCCACACCTTTGGCCTGTACGCCAGTTACTGTATGCATAAATAAATAAATCTTAAAAAAAAGTAAATAGATGTCTCTCTTCACAGTATAAAATGACTTCCAGAATTTAAAAAAACTACTTAAAACACTGCTTTAAAATATGAAGAAAACAATCACTGAAATGAAGTAACCTTGATACCGACATTTTACTCAAAGCAAATCTAGATCAGACATTACTAATTAAGTTGTTTAAGGATCAAATATTCATGGCACATCTATGGCAAATTACATTCTATGAGACACAAAGATGAAAAGAACTACTATTAAAGAGTCTACAGTAAGCTACTAAAGATAAGAGCCAACCAACAGAAACACTGTCATAATCTGCATGGTGAAATCTAGCGTTCTTTTCATCATGTTACTTGGAATTAAAGGGAAGAAGATAACTTCTGAGAAAGCTCTCTAGATAACTTTAAAAATTACTTTCTACAAGAAACAAGAGTATCTTTAAAATATTGTGAAATGGGGCCTTCCTGGTGGCGCAGGAGTTAAAGTCTCAGCACTATCAACCTACTAACAGTCACTGAGACAAGAGATAGATCCCAGGCCAGGGTGCTGACCCACACGGTGCAGCAGATCTTTCCGTCTTGCCCACTGCTCCCCTTAGCAATGTATTTCTGTAGATACGCCTGTTCTGCTCCCCACTCTGTCTCTGGTAAGTCCTCTTACCCCCCTGCTCCTCTGGCTTACATCTTAGTTCTTATATATATAAATAAAATAAACCTCTAAAAATAAAATAAAATTCTGTGAAGTATGTTTGTCTTTTGTTCTATTAAATTTGTCTTTGTTCTATCAGAGTACTAACTTTACAAAAATAATATTTGTTTATTGTGTGCATCTACCACTTAAATGGTAGCTATTAATAATACATTAATATTTAATAAAACACTCAATTAGTTCTCTGAAATATGTCATCACTACTTTCATAGCAAAATAATTTTATTTCTCAGAAGTCATTTGTAACTGCCACAGATTTTTAAATTTAAGATCAGTAATAATTCTATTGATTTCATGAAAGGCAAGACTTTTGAATCAAAGCACATTATTCTTGGTTACACATAATCCGAGGATATCCGTGATCATCCCTCTCTATGGGAAATGACTGTTGGCTCCTTCCCTTTCTCTTGATCTAAGAATATTTCAGGGAAAAAAATTCTAGCATCAGTGTAAAGAAATTACCAAAAACTTACTTACATGAGAATGATCTGGAGACCATGCAATAAATATCCATTCATATCCCTGGGCATTCTGAGAATCCAATCTGAATAATATATAGCATGGTTGTTTGTCCTCCAACAAGGGTAAAATAAAGGAATCATAATCCTTATCCCAAGTATCTGAAGGCTGACTACAAGATCCAATCACAAGTTTCTCTACGAAGAACAATTTTTAAAAAGATACATAAATTGTTGGAAACACCAGATGGTCAACTGATGAGACTGATGAACAGAAAAGTAAAGTAGTTATTTCCTAATTGCTATTTTTTACATAAAGTTGAAAAGAAAAAGGTCGTAACATAAAAAGTATAATATAATGAAATATAAAAAACATTAAGAATTTAAGACTAACACAGTTAAAATATTATGTATATGCACACACACATATATATGTACAAAAGCAAAAGAAACATGTAAAAATGATAGCTAAGTTGAAGAATGGCTTACTGATTATATTCTATTTTCCAAAAAAATTACAGCATAATTATCAACAAAATATTTTTAAATAAGTGTACTATCTCTCAAAGATATAATTTCTAAAATTAACATTGAATTGTATAGTAAGATATTAAACCAATGATTGAGCTCCTATTTGTCCATAATGGGTGCTCAGTGCAAATTTAAGAACTTGCCCGGAAGCATAAATGATATAGTCATTCCCAAGCTCTATTTGGCAGACTCAAGACAGACTGTGAATGTACTCTACATAGAGAACCTCTTGTACTTATGCAAAAAGGTGTTCAATGCAGTAAAACGTAATTACAGTGAGAACTGAAAGTAGCCTAAAGTAAGAGATTGGACATACAATATGTGACATAGTCATTTAAAATTGTTTCTGTTTTTTTAAAAATTAACGACCTCTGTATCAAAACTAATCACAAAAATGTTTACAGGAAAAGAGAAAAATGTAAAATAAGATGTCCTTTTATGTATGTTGAAAAACTCAAAACAGCACTGTATGTTTTTTTAGGGATACACATAGAAAACAGACTGTACAAATACAAGAACTCCTAATATATTTGCCTCAGGGGAAGGCAACAAATTGTTGAAAGAGGAGGCTCATATCACAAAAACAGCTTGCAGGAAATATGATAAAACATTAGCAGTTGTTAATTTAAGGGGAGGTAGAAGTATTTGCTGTATTATTTATCTTCTGCAATTTCCTTATTTAAGAGCTTTTCTCAAAACAAAAACAACATAAAATCAGAAAATGATGTAGAAAACAGTACAATTTTCCTTTTGTGGAGATGCCAGCTGGATAAACTTTAACTTTACCATTTTAGATAATCAGAGTCACTTAAAAGTGATGGCCTTTAAAGTTTTAGCTCAATATTTCTAAACTATGCCGCTTCAGAGTTTGTTTATTCCTGCTGAGTGTGGTAATACGGATAGAACAATTACATCTTTCCAAATGACTGGTAATTTTAACGTATAAGTAGAAAATGAAAAGCAAATTAGATTGACTTTCAGTTTATGAATATTTTTTCCAAAGCAAAATATTTCAAGGTATTTAAGTAATTAGGCTAATGAGCTATTTCAACATTCACTTGTGACTAAGTCATTAAAATGTTGGTTGTTCAAATGCAAATCTATCCTAACTAAATGATACACCCATCAAACAATTACCCTGCTTATAGAATTATTTTGAAAATATCAACTTATAGTTTATTATTCTCAGAACTTTCCCAAAACAGTAAGGACATTCCTCTCTGCAGTAAAAATGGGAATCAAGTGGAAATAATGGGGACAGTTTGAAATCTTTTGTTTCTATTTCAAAACTAACTTTATTGAATAACAATTTTTAAGTAACTTTTTTTTTGAATATTCACCAGTTTATTGATTTTCATTCCAGAGATAAAAAGCACTTAAATTAGACATGAATTTTGTTGCAGAAACTGAGACACAAAAAGAGGAAGATATCATACCAAAACATAACTTTCTGTTTTCCTGCTAGTCAGTCACAGAATTCAGAAGCAAAGCAGAGGCTTAGAGACAAGCCCAAAATATACAGGAGCCAAGTACCCTAAAGACAAGCTTTAAACTTGCTTTATATTAGTTCAAAACACTGACAAAGAATGACAAGTTTAAAATATGGCCCGATAAGCCAAGGACAAGTCATATTTTAAAATATTTAACTAACCATTTTCAATAGAGATCTTCAAAAGTCTGTATTTTCCATTTCTTGCTTTGGCAAAGACATCTTTAACATCTTCACTTGCTGTGGAAAAAATAAATCTATTTTTATACTTCTGTATTAATACTTTCTACTGCTACTTAAATGAGGAAAAAACACCAATACCAAAAATATAATACAAATTATGTAATAAAGAAAAATTACAATACAAGAAAAAAACGTGTAGGAAGCATTTTCTTACTATCAGTAATTTAAATGATAAAACTTACTGGTGTAACAGTAGACCCAATATATAGTCTAAAAATATAAATATTTCTACATCAATATTAATATATATTGAAAGTACATATATCAAATGGAAAAATGGGAGCATTTGAAATCTTTTGTTTCTGTTCCAAAACTTTACTGAATAACAATTTGTAAACTTTTTTTTTTGGATATTCACCTGTTTACTAATTTCCATTCCTGAGATGAAAAGTACTTAAATTAGAAATGGATTTTGGTGCAGAAAAATATCCATATATATCAATATTAATGCCATTCTTTTTCGCTTATTTCCATTGTCAATGTAACTAAAGTGACTACAGTACTGAATCCAATAGTGCGTGTTCGAAAAACGTTGAAAAACTGCTTTTATTTTCTTCTAGTCCAATTTTCAACCTTGTGATAGACATCTTCATCAACTCATTTCCTGTATTTTCCCACTAAAAAACAGTAAACATCAGATAACTTATGCATTATCTGATTAAAATGCATCGAATCTTATGCTTCTGGTTATATTTTTCTAATTTGTACTTCTCAAAAAACTAAAGTAGGATTAGTGTGCAAATATCTATTTAATAACCTCATGCTTGTGTTCCTCTTAAAGTTTCAATTTTGTTCCCGAGTTGCATACTGCAGCAAGAACCTCTGTATTGAAGGGGCGCTCGCTGGAAGCTTCAGGCATGAAAAGTTAATAAACACGTATTTAAATATCAAAGTCCATGGGGACATATAAACAATGCTTTGAGATTTGAGACCACTTTGCTCGTGTTTGTGGGTGCAGGGGGGAGGTGTGCGACCCTTAGGAAAAAACGCCCAAGGGTCGATCTGTATAAACGTTCTGTTGTCTACCAACAGGAAGCGCTTAGGTTTATGCTAAGTTTATAACTTGTGAAATGATCTCGAGTAACCGCGGGATACAGTTTTCCTTCCGAGGTGAGCCCTTCCAGACTGCTCATTTTCAGTCCAGGAAATAACCAAGGTGGGAATTAGCGCGCTCCCCGCCCGCCCGGGACGACCCGGGGCACAGACCAGACTTTTCAGTTTTCTGGGGGTCACTCAGGAGAAAGACCCAAACGCACCCCTGACTCGGGGGTTCTCAGAACACAACCCACGTTCCCATTTTGGGAGAAAATGCGGCAGAATCTGAGAAGCTTCTTCGCTGGGAAAGACTCCAGCCGCTTTCTTTTCCACAATACAAGCCCCGTCCCCGTCTCCCCGGACCAGCCAGTCTCCTGACAGCGCACGGAAGCGCAGCCGCCCCCGGCGTTTCGTTCTCCCCCACGGGACAAAAACGCGGAAACCCGCTGACCGCAGGGGCGGCGCGGGGCACGCCCCCTCCCACGGTCGCGGGGGCACCGATTTCTTTCGCTCCGGCGAACTGCGGGTTCGTCTGCAACGTGGCGGCGGCCGGGCCAGGGCTGCGGGCGCCACAGGCCGGGAGCACCCGGGACGACCCCGCGCGGAGCGGCCCCGCGGCCCGCGAGCCCGACTCCCCGCCGCCCGGCCCGGCCCGGCCGTAGCCCGCCGGGCCGCGCGGCGCCTCCCGGGAGCCCCTGCCCCACGGGCCGCCCGGCCACCGTTACCTTGGATGCCGGTCTGGTGGGACATGGCGGCTGCCGCGGGCTCCCGGCTCCGGCGCTGAGTGCGGCGAGCGGCCCAGCCGGCGGCTCCAGGAAGTGGCGGCGCCCCCGCCCGCTCTTACGTCATCCGCCTGCGACGGCGGCTGCCCCGCCCCCGAGGTCCACGGCGTCCTCGTGCGCCCCCGACCCCGCCGCGGCTGCCCTGCGCTGGCGGGCCTCGGCGCCTCTGCCCGGGTCTCTGCTGGGGTCCTGACGCCCGCGGCGCCAGCTCCACCCTCGGGAACCCCGCGGAACATAGGAATGTCAGGAAGGCCGGAATGGGGCCTTGCCCTGCGGCGTCTGCCCCCGGCCACTTTGCCTACTCCGTCGCTCTCTAGCGCAGCGAAGGATGCTCCAAACCCGGAAATGACCATTTTACTGAACAGACGTTCTCAGCTTTAAAAGACAGGTGCCCGGTATCCTTCTTGGATTACTCTTCCTGTCATCTCTACCGTCCAGTGTAAAGGGACACCCCCGCCCCATTTATTTTCCAGCGAGATTTAATATAGAGGCGGTCGCTTATGCAATGTGCCCACCCTTGTAAATGTAGTTAATCGCAGATTTTTCTTTGTTCAGTTGAGCACATTCAAAAACCTTGTTTTCTGTTCATTCTGAAGAGACAACCCCGAGAGTGAGAACATGAAACCGACGTGAGGATTCCTCTGTGGTCCATTCTACCATTGCAAACCCTAATACTGCTCTGCTTTACATTGGTCGTTTGTTCTTTAACCAATTATTCAAGAGTCACGTGTGTCGATTTGTAAGGTAATAGCAGATTGTGTTAAAAATTCTTTACCATTTTCTGCTTTTTTAAAAAGCGTTTTTCTCTTTCTGAATTTTAGTTAGTTTAATTTTTGTACCACTTTAGTGCCATCCTAGATTATAGTTTCCTAGGTAGAAAACTGTTTTTTTGTTTATTTGTTTCTAGGGCCTTGAACAGAGAAAGACACAAAATTACAATCTCTTTATCAACTTTATTCAGGCCAATCATGTAAATGCCAGCTAGCAAAATTACTTTTCAAATACAGTATATTTTTAATTCATTATTAACTAGCAAGCCTCCCATTGTTTTTCTTTACTAGGATCCCAGCAAACAAGGTTCCTGTGTCCTCTTCCTTGTTATCTAAACTCATGTCTGAAACAGGTCCTGATATTCCAGAATAAGCAAAATTTAAACTGACTGTTAGGGCTTGTTTGGATTTAGGAAATGTAGGGAGGTGTTTCATTCTAACCAAATTCTTTCTGACTCAACAGTTCACCCTGATTTACTAGTTTTGATTGCATTGTTGAGCACAGAGAAAATGGCCCAGTTCATCTTGTAGTTTTTTTCCACTCATTCAGGACCTGGTGAATAGGGAAATTTCATTAAGGAAATTGGCATTGCTTAAAAGCACTGATGAGAAAAAAATGTAACTACCCCATTCATACTTAGAAAAGACCACTGTATTTTCAGCCCCGAGGAGGTGGAAATTTCAGTTAGATTGGGTGGGACCCAGGAGAAAGTGCTTTTTGTCTGTCAGTTCAGTAGTTTGACTTAGAAGCTGGAAGGGTTTGGGGGACATTGATTTTGAACAGCTACATTGCTCAAAAAAGAATGTGAAAAGGGAAATATATTTGTTCAGCTATAAAGAACATAGTGAGAATGACCTTTTTTTTTTATTATCCATCAACATTTCTACAGGAAAACACTTTATTCTCTTTTAGTATATTCCATGTATATGCAAAAAATGGATACTTGATGCTGTCATACAATGTTTTATTAAAAAGCTTAATATTGGTAGTACAGTTAAATCTCACTAATTTATTATGTATAATGCTTATTTCAGATTGGGTTATTAAAGTTTGGAATTATATAACTGGAAAAATGGTTTATTAAGTATATTGATTAATACATGTAGTTTACCTATTTCAGAGAACAGATTATAGTAGAAATACTGCTCCTTTGGTTCATCTTGATAACAACCCCTAAAAAATTCCTGTTTGATCTGAGTCCGACTCATACCCTTTAGCATCACTGTCTTCTATACTTGACTTTGTCAACATGTTAAAAAACAAATTCATTTTGTCTTCAGCAAACTAGCCCTACTTTATGCTTCAGCATTTGTTTGATTTCATTACTTTAAAAGCAAGTCTTTCTAATCTGCCACACAGCTGTCTTCAGATCTGGCAGGACCTACCTCTTTTAACCATATCACTGGTATCAGATGTAAAAGTAATGTAGATAATAATTAAAAGGCTCAAATTTGGAACTGTATGACTCAACTCTTCCAAATTCCATTTGTATTTAGTAAATCACTCTTGCCAGTTACTTCAAAAAGTTCATTGATGAATTAAACAGGCAATTAATGTTTAATAAAATTATTTCATTTACCTAGTTAGTATTTTTCTAATCTTCTACATTCAATTCATTTTACATCTGAAAGTGAAAGCCTTGAGAGTCTCTTTGCATCTTGTTGCCCTCATCATCTTACCTTTTTTTTTTTTAAAGATTTATTTATTTATACAAGCACTGGGTACAGTCAGAAGCACGGGAGAGTGAGAGAATCCATCAGAGCCAGAGTGGGGAGCAGAACAGGCAGACTAATGAAGTACTGCTGAGGGGAGCAGTGGGTGCAGCAGGACAGGTCTGTGCGCCATGTGGGACCCTCGCCTGCGGCCCGGGATCGAAACGGTGCTGCAGAGGCTGTGGGCAGCTTCGCAGCCCAGTGCTCAACCACTGCGCCACCAGGAAGGCCCTCGTCTTACCTTTTTTTTTTAAGATTTATTTATGCATACAAGAACTGTGGTACAGGCCAGAGGTGTGGGGGTGAGAGGATTCACCAGAGACAGAGTGGGGAACAGAACAGGCAGATTCACTGAAATACACTGCTGAGGGGAGCAGCAGGGTGAGACAGGAGAGATCTGATGCGCCATGTAGGTTGCTCCCTGGCGGGGGGATCATACTCACACTGCAGAGGCTGTGGATTGCTTCATAGGTTGTGTCTTAACCCCTTGAGCCACCAGGGAGGCCCTCATCTTCTTACCTTCTATTATTTTCTGTATTGGTCCTACTCAGTTGTCACCCTGGATTGCTTTTCAGGCTGGGAAGTTCCATGCATTCTGACCTGCATTTCCCCCCAAATATATACCAAACATGATCTAAACACTCAGCTTGGCACCCATAACCCTCTCCAGTCTTTCCTAATATGCTCCAATCCAATGGACAGTTATTTCCCCCCAACTGCGCTATATTTTCTTTATCGTCCTGTTTATCCTCCCCACTTCCCTACTATACTTCCCTACCATACTTCCTTCTGTCTTTTTTCATGTTTAACCCATCCTTTGGAGACGTATCCACTTCCATGAAGTCCTTCCTCAATCTCAGTTATATAATGTCTTGTGTTTTCAAATGCCTTTAGCATTTTGTGTATCTGTGCTAGCCACCTTTCTTGCTCTTTACTGTAATCACAGATGTATATGAGTTTATTCCAGTTCTCCTATTAGATAGTCTAGTCCTTGATATCAGGAAGTTTATCAGTTCCTTGTTGGATCTCACATGTATTTAGAACTCATTAATTCATTTCTTCTTTCATTCAGTACTTTAGGTGTTCTTAAATTGAAGGTAAAATCCTGATGATGATGTTCTGTAAACTTTTCTAGAATTTAAAAGTCTTAATTTTTGTTTGAAAATCATATGAAATGGGTCTTACTAAATTACTTATCTTCAGTAGAATTATAAAATAAGGGTGCTGAATAATTTTCCATAGTTATTCAATAGAGTATTTCTTTGGTAGTAAAAACAATTATACAGTTACTACAAAACAACTGTTTGGAAACAGTTCAATTATTTTATGAAACTAAAATTAATTTTTTAAGGTTTATTTTATTTATGCATACAAGAACTGGGGTGCAGGCCAGTGGTGCGGGGGAAGGACGGTGAGAGGACTCCCCAGAGACAGAGTGGGGAGCAGAACATGCTATCTACAAAATCCACTGCTGAGGGGAGCAGCGGGTGAGACAGGAGAGGTCTTCTGTAGCCAGTTCCCTGGCTGGGGATTGAACTAAGGCCACAGTGGCTGGGAATAGCTTGATAGCATTACTTTAACCCCTGTGCCACCAGGGAGGCCCAAATTAAACTAAATTTCCTTTGAAATATATACATTGAAAGATTTTTCTTTAAAAAAATCTTATTTTTTTATAATAATTATGTTTTTAAAGTGATTGCTCAGGTATAAAAATTGCATCTTCTTCATCCTTACCTCTTTCTTAAAAAATTCATGGTGTCACTTTATTGTTGGCCCTATCAATTTACATATTCTTCCTGTTAATGACACATATAAATCCTCTGCTCTTCACACAAATATGACCTCACTTTTCCTCTCTGTTGTGTTTGTGGTTATTAAACATTTGTCAGGGCTGTGGTAGCCACAGTAACTTACATTTGCATAACAGTGTAGTTTTCAAAGAAGAGATAGAGACTCTGAGCACCAACATAATCCCACTTGACAGACTGATGGAAATGTAATCAGGTTTTATTTTTTAACTGTCCTATGAATAAAAAACAGTTACCATAGAGGGACATTGGTTTAGGTTTGGACTTAAGATTCCTGCTTTTTATAACTTGGTGGGGCTGGTGCTTAGATCATAACTTAGAAGTCAAAAACCCAAATGCACATGGAGATCAGTGCGATACTATGAGTGAAGCTGACTCACATGGCCAGATGGAGTTTGGGCCCCGTCTAAGGGGAGCTGCCTCTACTCCAGATGACTGGGCACTGAGGCCCAGGGTTGCCAATCTTCTGATTTTCAAACAAACTCAGAAATTGGGGTTTTAGGGCCTCCCCGGTGGTGCAGCGGTTGAGCGCTGGGTTGCGAAACTGCCTGCAGCCTCTGCAGTGCCGGTTCGATCCCCGGCTGCTGCCCGGCCCCGGAGGAGGGTCCCACTTGGCGCGCAGACCTCTCCTGCTGCCCGCTGCTCCCCTCAGCAGTGTACTTCGGTCCTTCTGCCTGCTCTGCTCCCCGCTCTGGCTCTGGTGAATTCTCTCACCCTCACGCGCTTCTGA